TTGTGATGAACGATGAATGATTTGTGAATGAATTTGTTGTGGTTATTGTCTTATGGTCCACGTTAGCCTATTCCCAACCACAATTAAACAAAGCTCTTTAATATTTCGCCATACAACATTCAACTACTGCATTTTGATTGCACTCAATTACACTCACATCGTTTTCTTATACATCATAGGTAATTCCAAATTATCAAAGTACTTGAAAACGTCAGAACGGCTCTGAATCATCTGAATAGAGTAATCTAACCATCCATTGCCCAATTCAATTGTTCACTATGATGCGACAATTTTTTTTTACATTTGAAGTGCGAATTATGGGAGCAGCTATGTTATGTTTTAACTTTAATTTATAAAAATAATTTGTAATGTAACAATAATATAATTACTTATTTTACTAATTGCATGTTATATATTAAGGTTGAGTTTTATTCTGTTTATTTCTACTATTTTGTAGGTTTTTCCTGTGTGTGTCTGTTTGTGCGTTTTCATAAAAATATTGATATACAAAAAAACACTAAATACTAAAACTTATTTTTAACCTCGTAGTATAAATTAGCTCAGTGTGTTTAGGTGCACATATATGTGCCCTATTACATTGATACTATTTTGTGTATAGTATGCTAAGTAAAGAAACAAATTATAGCCATAAAGGAATTTTGTGTATTCTAAATAAATAAATATAGGTTTATATCAAAAACTAGAGTGCTGATATATTGGTCACTCGATAGTAAAATGATAACTAATCTTGAAACACAGTGTACACACTTTATCTTCTCAGTGCCTTTACTGCTCAGAGTCAACTTTAAGAAAAATCTGGTCAGTTATTTATAGGTCATCGACGTATACGCATTAGCGTAAATTCGATGAAAAGTTACCATCTAGTGTTGTCAAAATGGGTCTATTTAGATTCGTGTTATTAATAACTATAGTGTCAGTTACATGTAAACCTGTTGATTTAAATATTGTTCAGACTGAAGAATTCAATGAGTTAGTACTTGAACCAGAAAGTAAAAATGTGATTAATGTTACTGAAGGCACATCAAATGAAGTTACGAGTTTAGGTATGCGGAATCAGGTACGTCCTGGAATGGAAGTATTGAGCTATGCTGTTGAAATAAACGCTGATGTTAATGCTGGCTCGTTCAATGGAAGAGCGATCATCCAAGTACGATTTAACGATGAAAGTACAAGAGAAGATGCGATTATTTTACACGTTGCTGATTTGAATATAAACAGAGTGCAGTACGCCATTATGGGTGGCAGTAATCTACTTGATGCTGACTACTCTACGGATGATGATGACCAAATAATAGAAATAGAACCTGGACAAATTGCTTTACTATACACACTATACATTGAATATTCTGGATCTTTGGATAGGGCTGGTAAAGGATTGTACAGAGGAAGCTATGGAGATAAGTAAGTGCTTTATATATTTTTTTTTTCATTCTGGATTTAATCTAAGAAGCGCATTACTTGAAAACTATCAGTTTTCTTAAATATAATTAGCTGATCCCACTACCACGATTTAATTATCTTCATAATGGTTTTTTCCCACTTTCTTTTAACCACTACCGCCGCCGCCGTCAAATCTCGTGACTATAGACCGCAAATAAGTTCGCGATATTTTAAAGTTAAAAGTCCTAACAATAACGCCTGTTTTCATCAACCTCTCTTTAATTTTAAAATAAACTTAAGCTGAGATAGGTTATATTAACGTCAATTTGGCTTTCATCAAAGAATTTGGCATTCAAATCCACCACAATCAAATATCCACATAACAATACAAGTAAGAGGTTAGTTCGGGTGTCATCACTGCGAGGACCGCCCTGAGGACACGGTGAAGCACACAGTAGCGAAATGCCTGCGTGGGCTGAACACCGCCGTGCCCTCAGGGACGTGATCGTTGATGACAACCTGTCGCGTCCGGGCCTAGTGCGGGTCATGATGCGTAGCGAGGGGGATTGGGATACCGTCTTCTCCTTTCCTCCGAAGCAGTCATGCTAGCTAAGGAAGAGGCCGGCCGCGTATGGCAGCGAAGCGCTGCCTCCTCACAACCTAGCCACTGCGAATGACACTCCGGGGGTCGGGGATCGCGGAACGATCTCCGGCCACCGTAAGCGCAGGCCTGGGGCCGGCGAGCATGGGTGACTCGCCGCCCGGCCAGAACCAAACCCGAGCGTTCGGCGCGCGTCGCGTTCCACGCGTCCCTCAAAGAGCCATCAGACCACCACGGATGGGGCTCAATAGGGCTGATGTCGATTCAGAGCCGCGGAGAACTTAACGGGTTATCGGAGCTCCGGCTCGAAGAGCAGGAGTAGAAACGGGGTGGTTTTTAGTCAGTAAGAGTCTGATACTCCATCCCGCCTCACCCAGGCGGGAGAGGTCACTCGATGATTTTTCTCCCATTAAAAAAAATGAGGTTAGTTTAGGTACTACGTCACTTAGGTATCTAATTTAAATGAAAGTTTAAAAGAGATTGGAGTAAACGACATTTTTTTTCTTGAAACAACATTGTCCCACACTAGGATTTTCTCCTGTGTCGTGGGTGCGTTTACAAACATACAAGTTGACACACAGTATGAACTGCGGCCACTTTTATTTGGTTTCTTGTTTCATACAATTACGTGGTTAATAACCGCATAGATTTCACGACAATGAGTAGTTCTACTTTGTCGCTTTTAAATAGTTTGTCATCGGGATCATTAGAAAATATAAAACATATAGAGACCGTGCGTGTGATTATGATTTTATATTCAAGTTTAATTTTTATTGTTTAGTCCTTTAAACACTGTTTTGGTCTACTCTTAAATTATACTTTGGGTTTGTATTATTCGTCAGATATGAAGTACATAACTAATGAATATTGTACCATATGTGATTGTGTTCTTATTTACTGTTATTTTGATGGATCTCAGTTATCTGAATAAATTAATTATTATTACAATAACTTACTTTTGATTTACGAATAGTAGTTAAAGTTGGTAACTTACTAATAAGCATAATTGTCCGAATCGTCGAAGTTTATAATGATAATGATTTTGATGATCAACATAAGCTCGATTTTTTCCACTTCTTGATATAAGACTCATCAATAAGAACAAGAATTTCTAGAATTAAATGCTCATTGCTAGAAAATACTTGTCCAAGCAAATTTGCTTAGTAACTATTTTGTTATCACTATAAGATGATGTAATAATTCTATTGTGAATTACGTTTAAAAAACTGAGGTATTCCTCGTAGCGCTCCCATATAAGCTTCCCGATTAAAAATATTAAAATTTATTTCCTCGAAGCGCTCCCATGATTAACTTTCGGATAGAGATGGGACTATTCTAACTGAAATTATCGATAAGAACTAGGTAATAAGTAGAACACATTGTTATAATATACAACTAGCGGCCCGTTCCGGCTTCGCACGGCTTTGGTAATTTTTTTTTTATTGTAAATCCTTTAGTCCACCAAATAGATAAATATAATCTGCCGACACGTGTAAGTATTCATATTTTTTATTGTTCAGAAAGGACTGCCTCAATTGCCGAGTGGTCGCAAGTGCGATTACTGGGTAAGGGGTCTCGGGTTCGATTCCCGGGTCGGGCAAAGTATTACTGGGTTTTTTAAAAATCTCAGTAGTAGCACGGAGTACAGAAATGTCCCCAGTATATGGCAATAGGCTCACCCCCTATTACATGGGACTCATAACATATATAGTGAAAAGTGGGTGTTACATTGGACAGTGGCATTAAGTGTCGTAGGCAATGCGCACCTCTGCCTACCACTTTGGGGACAAAAAACGAGATGTTATGTTATGTTTATTTTTCACAAAGCTTATGAATTCTCTCCTTTATGTTTTCCATTACTAACCCTCCCCGTACACCTCAATATTTAGTCGGAAATTTTTCGTAGAAATAAGGCAATGAGGTGTCTATCGTTTATGTCAATGATAGAAATGACTCTCCTTGTCTTAGGCGGGGCGAGAGAGTGTCAGACTCTTACTGACTAAAACCTCCTACTGACTAAAATCACCTGCTCTGAGCCGGGACCCATTGTTATGTATTGCGCTCAACGGTAATGCTACCTATGCGATTGATAAAATAGTTAGAACAATTTTATTACTAATTTTTGCTAAAATTAACGATACTAACTTCTTAACTAAGAGTTAAAGATGCGACAAGCGTGGCGCGTGAGTCCTGCACACACACATACAAACTGTAACCCCACCTTTCCATTGTATCCTAGAGAGTCGCTTTTACCGAATTCACACGAATCCAGCCGAGCATTGCTCGAAATTGCGTTTATGTAAAATTGCGTTTTGTTGATATCGCAGGTAGCGCGAATGGGTCACGGAAGCAATTTATCTATATAAAAAAATACCAAAGCCGTGCGAAGCCGGGACGGGCCCCTAGTTGTATATTATAACAATGTGTTCTACTTATTACCTAGTCCTTATCGATAATTTCAGTTAGTATAGTCCCATCTCCACCTGAAAGTTATTCATGGGAGCGCTTCGAGGAAATAAATTTTAATATTTTTAATCGTTCTTCAAAGCGCTTCAAAACGGGGGGCTTTGAGGAATACCTCAAAAACCGACTTCAACGCCCACTTTTTTAACATACATGCATAAGTTAATGCCTGTCTCCCATGGGGTAGGCAGCAACTATGACACGCTAATTGCTATGACTCCTTCCTTGAGTAGAATGATTATTTATTATGATGGACAAAATGTATTTAGTTAGATGATTCATGTTGATTATGCAAAAAAAAACCTAGCTACTATTAGACTGGTGGCAATAGCGACGTCAATCAGTTATTTGGTGATCTCATTATGTAATGAGGCTTCGCACAATATTCTGACATACATCTTCACTGAATGCATTATCTCAATACAAGTATCTTAGCATCAAATCGATACATCTTTGATAAATTTATATTTCCAATGAAACCCGTATTCTATCTTCATTGTTTATCGTATTAAACCTAGTCGAGACATTATCGAGATCATCTCGTATCTCTTGAATCATTTGTATGATTAAAATATATTCTTTCTTAAAGCCATTTCCTTTAAGACTGTAAAACGAAACGACGCATGGACGTGTTAGCAACAAAGTGAAGGGCCATTTTAAACTCCATCAAAATGGTTTGGTCCAAGTTCAAGTGGAAGTGTATCTTCTTTACTTATATAATCTTATTCAACGTTTTTACAAAATCACTACCTCTCATTAATTCACCGTCTTTATTAAAATCAAACACCGAATCAGAAAATGTTGATACAAATTTTGCCACAAATACTGCGGAAGAATTAGTTGAAAATTATAGTGATATATTGGGTGGAAATAACATTGTGTCTAGCGGTGATGTGACTGTGAACGCAACCCGAAGTGCTGTATTCAGAAATATTAGACCAGGTCAAACTGTACGTTCGTATGCAGTAGAAATAACAGTCAATGGAAATTCATTCAATGGACGAGCTGTACTGGATGTTCTATTAACCGCAGCTACTAGAGAAGATGCTATCATTCTCCATGCTGAGGATTTAAATATTAATTCTGTTAGAGCTGGAGTTTTAGGTGGTTCAAATTTGCAAGATGTCGACTATGATGTTGATGATGGAGAACTTGAAATTTCTCCAGATAGTATAGCTTCTATATATTCGATTATTATAGAGTACAGTGGACAACTATCAAATACTGGACGTGGCCTTTATTTAGGAGGAAACGACCAAGTGTAATGTATTTTTTTTAAATATCATTATCTACTGTGTTGTTTAATAGATCCAGTTTTTTGAAAAAGTAAATCGATTTTAAAGTTTTTATAATCAATTCTTTAATAATGCTTTGAACTATTTTTAGGTAGTTGATATTAGTAAATCCTTATGTGTTTTAATTTATTTTGTTCTGTAAATCAGTTTTCTTAAGTTCAGTTTTTTGTATTTTAATTAAAGAAACGCCGTTAGTTTATTCTTAGTCCATTCCTTCACGTAAACGAGCCAATTAATTAAGTATTTTAATTCTGAAAATTTGATGATATTTGTATTAAAATTTAGTTTCATATTTTTTGCCCAATTTAATCTTGATTTATTAAACTAATGAAAGATAGGTCTTTCAACTAGAGCTTGTGGCATGAAGATTTTTGCATTTGTGGTCTTTTCTAATAACAAAAATCATATCACTCTATTTTCGTATAGGCATGTATATGGCCTAGCGTAGCGCCTAGTTCCTTGCGAGTCACCTTACGACTCGTTTTCTAGGACACACAGTGGCCAAAATGAGAAGCCATTTCGTTTGTTCAGCAGCCAGTCGTCCAGCTTCTGCAACAATCGTGCATTACTAATAATTCAAGCATTTTTCAATACTCAAATGTTTATTGCTCTTAAGTTACTTCGCATCTATGATTAGCAAGGCAACTAGCAATTATTATTACTGAACCCAGAACGATGGGGAATTATGGGACTATGTTTTTTGTTGTGTTTTAAACAATTTTACTTCATTTCAGCTAAATGGGAATCTACGTAGTTTCACTTGTATTTTTTGCTTTAATTTGACTTGACTAATAGTAACTTGATAGGTTAAAAAATTATTAAAAACAACTATGAAATAAAAGCATATTAATTGTTTTCAGTAACTATTTGGCAATGAATTTACATCCAACATACGCAAGACGTGTGTTTCCATGCATGGACGAGCCTACAGAAGCATCTATAATCTCCTTCTCATTTGAAGGTCTGGATTACACTCATCTAACATCGAACTCTATGCTAGTAGAAAACAGCCAGTAAGTTTATCAAAGTTTCAATTACGGTTACTGTTAAAAACAGCTCTGAGAAATGCAGTAAAATCTTTATCGACAGAAGACCTCCAGAAAAGTTAAAATACCTTTTGAATTAATTTATTCCAGGACACATTTCCGAGCATTGGTAGGTCCACCTCACCTTTGGGGTATGATTGCACACAATTTTGTAACTGTCAACTTGCCGACTGCCAACGTTTTGCTATTTTCAAGACCTGGTGTTTCTAACCAAGATTCACAAGCATCTGTAGCCATAAACTCGTTCTTCAACAATTTAAATGAATGGACTCAAAAGCCTTACTTCGAAGTAATAGAGAATCAAGATGGCCGAATGAACATAATGGTGCTACCTGATGTATCGACAGACTGGACCTCACTCTCTACAGTCGGTATTTGGTGAGTATTTGAGTTCTTTAATTTATTGCTTTATGTCACAAATAAAATTTGATTTGACTCACGTCCAAAATTGTATATAATTTGTGATTATAATCAAGACTGCCTCGTTGGCCGAGTGGTCGCAAGTGTGACTGCCGGGCAAGGGGTCTCGGGTTCGATTCCCGGGTCGGGCAAAGTATTACTGGGTTTTTAAAAAAATCTCAGTAGTAGCACGGAGTCTGGAATTGCGCCCGGTATATGGCAATAGGCTCACCTCTATTACATGGAATTCATAACATAAATAGTGAAAAGTGGGTGTTACATTGCACAGTGGCATAATGTGCACCTCTGCCAACCCCTTCGAAGATAAAAGGCGTGATGTTATGTTATGTTATGTTATAATCAAGATTAGGTGGTCGGTTAAATTTATTTCGAATTTATTTAAACAGGGAGCCCCATGTGTTCATGGAACAAATTCATGCAGTGAAACAGAGGGTGATAGGTCTGACTAAAATAGCAGAAGCTATGTCGAGGCAATGGTTCGGATATGTGATCTATCCGGAAAATTGGAGGTACGAATGGGTCGTCGCAGGATTCACCACATACTCGGCGTATGAAATGATGCGAATGGTAAGAAGTTCCATATAGAAGTTGACACTTCTATAAGTGTATAATAACATATTTTTTATAAGATTAAAAAATGTTGGTTACCGATGATAGTGGTAAAATGCTATAAGCGAACAAAATGGGCCAACTCGCTCGGTGAAGTGGAGCTTCACCGAGCGAGTTGGCCCATTGGCCTTTCACAGTATACTGGCGTGAAGTAATGACGTAATGTCTTCTTGCTTGATAAGTGACCTTAGGACATTAAGAACATTAGCAAACTAACTTGTTTAGACGAAGTTTGTTAATTTGATTATTATTTGAAAGTTTTAAAGTGTTTTTGGATTTGTTTATTTGTTACAGTTCCAGGGCGACAACATTGCCAATGATGTAAATTGGCTAGACGTTAATACATTATTCGTAACTGAAGTTATACAAGAAAGTTTGCTACGCGATGCCTACATCAACTCCAATCCATTGGAACCTGCAGACAATCTTTTTGATGAAGATGTAATAAGGGATCATGTAAATGGACTCGTCAAGTTAAAGAGTGCTGCGGTTATGAGAATGATCAGGCTTGTGCTCGGTGACGAAGATACCGACTTTATTCAGATAGCAGCCAGAGCACTCCTTAATGTACGGTAAGTATATGACTATAGTGGCATTCGTAAAATCGAATTAATTCGATCTTCTGCCCGCGACTTCTTACGCACAAACCCGTTTTCTCCTGTTCCTGTAGGATTATCAGGATTTTTTCTGTCTTAAGAACGTTATCCTAATAATAACAAATACAACAAAAAACAATTAGTGAAATCGGTCGAACCATTCACGCGATATATTGTGGCCAAGGGAAAAGGGATTCATATTTATATATATGTATAAAACTTCCAAGTCATACCAGGACTCTTAGTGCGACTTTGAAACTAGTAGACCTTTTACTCTATTTTATGATATTTATAATTATGTTAATGCCCATTTTTTACAGATCTCTCGATACTATTAATACATTGAAATTCATAGATGGAATAAACAGTGAATTAGTAAACAGTAATGTTGGTGACTTTGATGAATATTTAGAACCATGGGTAGAAAGCAACGGATATCCTCTTCTCCGAGTTGAAAGTACGTTTAGCGGAGTTTTGCTGCATCAGGTAATTTAACATGTATTTTTTCTTCATATGCATATTTATGCTAAAGGCACGGCAGCATCTAGATTACGTTAGGAAGGGTAAATAGTCTGGTCCTAGTAACATACAACAGACGAGAAGATGGTTTAGTTGAAAAAAGACATAGGTAGGTGCCTTTCACTATTGTTTTGGAGTTAATAGAAGCCCGAATAGAAGGCGAGGACATAATAAGCCTTAAACATCGGCAACCATCGGCATCGGCATCGGCACCGGCAACCGATCCTTCGAGAGCAACAGACTGTCGATGTATTTATTTTTACTGATGATGTATTTAAAGTCGATGTATTTAAATGTATTCGTATTTTTAAGCCATGGACTTCTATCAGCTGATCATGATAATGATGTTGATGATTTTAGGCCACTTATTCTTAATCAGTCATTTACCATCAGTTTTCATGTTATCGCTTTTTATCTTTCAGACCCCCTTTGGTTTCACAAATAGAGATTCTCCAAGCCGTCTTTTACCAATAACCTACACAACGAGTATAGAAAAGAACTTCAATAACATTCATCCGCAGTTTATGTTAGATATAAATCATAACTTAAACGTATTCTTAGACGAAGAAGACTGGATTCTTTTCAATATTCAGGGGCAAGGTGAGGAAAGAATTTTTGTGTCATAACTATTGTAAGACATCATACCTAATACCTCTAAACGAGCAAGGCTAGTTTATAATATATTCACGATATCGTTGTGGGCTCATAACATAAATAGTGAAAACTGGGTGTATTTTTTACAGCGACATAATGTGCACCTCCGCCTACCCCTTCGATGATAAAAGGCGTGATGTTTGGTTATGTTATATATCAACAATATCGGAAATGTGGCTTTCGGCTCCACAAATTTTTTTGAAATGATGTAATCATATGGTTTCTGGGACGATAAACTATCGTTTTGTGGCGTTGTTACGTCGTGTGAATGAGAAGGCTATTATCACCCTCCCCCACTCCCCCAATACCTTAATCCCCAACAATCCTCAAATTCCTAATCTCACAAGGCCGGTAACGCACTTGTAACGCCTCTGGTGTGGTGATGGTGATTTACATTTTATTTTTATATTATTGCAGGATATTATCGCGTTACTTACGACACGGTGCTTTGGGAAAGGATTATTGAAGCTCTTGAAGATCCTGACAGGAGGGCAGAAATACATCCTTTGAATCGTGCTACTGTGAGTATTCTCTCTTGAGCAGATTAACCTGATCCTTTTAAACTGCGATTTTTCACATGCCATTCAAAAAAGCCTCTTTTTAATAGAGGAGGCTTATAGCCTAGTTGTATATATATCTAAGTCTGTGTGATGTCAAAGAATGATTACAAAATAAATCCTTTCTAACAGTAATTTTTACTTGCAGCTTGTAGACGATGCTCTTAACTTGGCCAGAGCTGGACAGCTGGGCTATGACATAGCATTTGCAGTAGTTCTGTCCATGGAACATGAAACTGAATATGCCGTGTGGAAAGCTTTCGTCAGAAATATGAATTTCTTGAAGAAAAGATTAGAAGCTTTCGTTTTTGACGATGAAGATTTAGATCCTGATATTTATTTGGTAAGAGCATAGCAGAGTTATTTTATTACTCAAACCCCGTATCACATGGTTGTTAACTTGCAATATAGGGGTTAAATATAACTATTTTTGTTATACTAAGACTTTGACTGATGTCTTATTTTATTTGCATTTCAATTTTCCAAAATTTTCTGTTGACTAGCATCTTTATCTGGCATAAAAAACAAAACAAGTCCCACGTATATTTTTGATACAATAATAAATGGTACAGGAAAATTTTCTAATAGCAATTTACATTTATAGGTCTGATTGTTTTAATATTCTGTAGTTCCTAATAATAGTCTTATGAGACTACTAAAAATTTTAATTTGCTTTACAGAGAATGGTTCGTAGAACAATACCAGCAGTTGAAAGAGAACTAACGTTCTACCCTGATGCATCTATAAGTGAGCCAGCGATGACCTCATTGACCCGAGGTCTGGTGATGGACCACGCTTGTAGAGCTGGGTACAGACCTTGCATCGCTGCAGCAGTCGACTGGTTCTACGACCCTAACAATAACGAAGTCGTGTAAGTGTTACGAAGAATTTATATAAGCTTAAAATATAGACATACTTTTTTATCCAATATTTTTCCGTAGAATATCAATATCAATATTCTAAATAAATTACTAAACAAATATTATATTTTGCCTAGTCATAAAGACATAAATATTTCTACTTAACTTGACAATGGCCAGCCTAGACAACAAACGACTAACCAAAGACTAACTAACACAACTACTGATAGATGTTACTAAATGGGACCAACAATTGTATTTTAGGAATCCTAATATACCTCACGAAATCAGACCAGCAGTTTATTGTACAATGGTGAGAGAAGGTGGTGACGAAGTCATAGAAGCCCTATATAACAGGCTAGAAATTGAACCAACCCATTACGAGAGAGTCGTCATTTTGGAGTCTCTAGGATGCTCAAATGATCCCGATTTCATTAACGGGTGAGTAATTATTTAACAACGAAGTATATTAAGTAAGTAAATTATATATACAATATTTTTTTGTGTCACTATTGTAATAATTGCTTATTATTATATATATAATAACATTCCTGAAATATGGACTTTTGCACGCGTTCTAATGACGAAATTACATTTCAGACTACTCATGCAAACTATAGCGTCAAATAGTCCCTACGGTGTTGAAGAACGAGTGAAGATTTTCGCTGCAGTGGCAGAAAGCAGTTACACGAATGCAGATCTAGCTCGTGATTTCATGAGGTTGAGGGTCAATGAAATCAGAAACATGTACGTATATTTTCAACTGATTGATGGTAATCGTCTCCAAAGAGGCTTCCACGAAATATTATTAATATATTGAAATATTTTTCGGTTGTTCAGGTATGGTGTAGAAAAACTTGAAGAGTTGATATTTGTCCTTGCGGAAAATATGGCGGACAGAGATTTAACTAGAGAAGTAAGTACAAATAAGTGGAAAAAAAGGAACATTAACAAACGTAAAATATAACAAATTCTTGTATTAATTCAACAAAACCGTCAAATCTCACACTATGACCAAAACTTTGCTAAGTTTTTAGAGGTTAAGTAAAGAAAATTGATTTTACAGCTGATTTGATAATTTTTTGACAGTGCAAGTCTTGAACAAAGGTAGATACCTTTTTTGCTTGAATCGTTTTAGCAGGAGCACTATAATGACCCCAGATTTTAATTGCAAAATGATCTGTTGGCAACATGTAGATATTGCATAACGAAAGAGAAACTCGTAAAACTTTGAATACGTTTCCTAGTACTTTTCTAAACAATAAAAAAAAAATTGTCCACAGTTTGAAATCTGGGTGCAGAGTTCGTTCAATAACCTCGAGGACTCACAAATGGCTGCTGAACGTGCACTGGATTATGTGCAAGAGAACCTTAACTGGGAAGACACATATAGAGATGATGTGTATGAATGGATCGACGAGAACCATGCGCCCACTCTTGTGCTATCACTAGTAGCGCTCTGCGTGTCTATCATGGCGGCAATATTCAATAATTAATTAATATTTTATTTTTTTATATAACTCATTGAAAAAGACAGAGTCGTAATGTAGGTCCAAAGCAGACTCTTTCAAATTTTAAAATTAATTGTAAGTGTAAATGTTAAATTATAAAATTTATTGTTGAATAAATTTCTAATTAAAATATTTTATGATAGGATTACAAAAAAGAACTCTACAATACAAGTTAAGATTTATTATAATTTGAATTAATAATTATTAATAGTCCACATAGGACGTAAGTAGGCAAGTTATGTTAAAGAAAAGTAGGTACATGTTTTTATGGTGATGGGTTAAAGAAACTCGATATTATCGTTGTCGATATTATTCGCAGTTTCATAAAGGCTTTGACGAAATTATAAAATAGATCGGTTTGCAATATTGACAATTGCATTATCGATTATTTTTTATTTTTCGATAAGCCTCTGTGTTATCACATCTTGCTACATAGAATGTAATGAGAATGTTTGACAATAGTATGAAATTTAGCTATACTTTTAATAATTGTTCTTAATTATGTTGGTGGATTGGTTTAATAATGATGTAATTAATTATAATTTTATTAAGACCAGAATTGCACAAAGTGACTTTAGTTTTAGTAGATAGACTTAAGATGAATATTTAATCATATAAATTATAATTTTAGAATTAAAGTTCAATAGTTATCTTAGTATGGAGTTTTGATGATGTATTTTAAGTTAAACATTTAAATATAAGAATATTTATAATTTATTATTTTATGAAGAATTTGTTCTTGTTAAGTTTAAGATGTTTTTTACTGCATTTTCACTCATATTTTTAAAATTTAGTTCGTAAATAAATATTAAAAAAAAATCTAAATCTGTGGCAAACGCGTCCTCTTGCCTCAAATTTAGTATTATGTATAAAAATACTATTTAATTTACATAGAATTAAGACATCGAATATGAAAACTTAAAAAAAATATTATATTTTAATTAAATTATTTAAATTTATTATTCTTAGTTAACTTAGATAAATTAATTTAGGAGTTGTTACGGGAAAATTCGTTTTCAAGTAATAAAATAAATTGTAATATGTACATATTGCAAAAATAAATATATTAGTTAAGAATAAGTAAACGTGTTTATTTTAACCTTAGTTGCCTTATTATTTTTAATTTATAGGCATTTCCCCGCCTGCATCAGGATCGGCCAAGGCGTGGGTATTTGGGCATATAATAAGATAAAACACCGAGTCATAATCATCACAAATCCAACTTTAACTTTATGAAAAATTATAAGAGATTGCGCGGTACTTTGACGGTTCGTCGGAGATGTCTCGCGCACGCCATTCATAACCGTAGTCTGGTTCAACATATTGCGGCGCTGTTGTCGACATGACGTTCCGCCAGAATGACTTCTATGGCTAGATGTCATCCTAGTTCCAAAACAAATTATCGATAGCGCTGTGGCTATGCCGTCAAATTTATAATTTGGAAAACATTACATTAGGTCTTACCTCTAAGCACTTACATAATAATAAATTGACTGCTGATAAATAATAAAAGACTGCCTCGTTGGCCAAGTGGTCGCTAGAGCAACTGCCCGGCAAGGGGTCTCGGGTTCTATTCCCGGGTCGGGCAAAGTATTTGAAAATTCTGAGTAGTAGCAAGGAGTCTGAAATTGTGCCCGGCATATGGCAATAGGCTCACCCCCTATTATATGGGACTCATCATAACATAAATAGTGAAAAGTGGGTGTTACATTGTACAGTGGCAATAAGTGCCGCAATGTGCACATCTGCTCTGCGATAAAAGGCTTAATGTTATGTTATAATACATTTTAAATGCACAATTTTTATGTGTCAAAACGTGTACAGTAACCAAACGATAACATCAAATACTTCTTAAAAAAATGAATGCGTATGGAATCAGAGGAAATGTGTATGATCTTGTAAAATCATATCTGTCAAATAGACAACAATACACTGAGGTACGACAAATTAACTCATTGATAATGACAGAGCAAGTCTACACAACCAAACCTGGGACTGCTCAATTTGGCGTTCCACAAGGAAGTGTTCTGGGTCCTCTGTTCTTTCTCATATATATGTATAAATGACATGCCTTTAATCACTAAATATGACCTTACACTATTCGCTGATAACAGCACAGTACTGTTTATCGATGATAACATGACAAATTTAGAAAATGACGTAAATAGAACCTTGGCAAATATTGTACAGTGGCTTAACATAAATAACTTATCAATGAATGTCGATAAAACTAAAATAATACATTTTAAAATACGCAAACAACGCATTGATCATTTGACTATACAATACCAATATAGGAAAATAGATGAAACTGAAGTTACAAAATTCCTGGGCTTAATAAAATTAACTGGAAACTACATATTGGCCATGTTTGTAAAAAGCTGAACCAATTCTCATACGCCTTAGTAGACTCAGAAAAGTTGCAAATCAAACTACCCTAAAGACAGCGTATCATGGTTATGTCGGATCAACCCTAAGATATGGCTTAATATTTTGGGGCAACAGTATTGACAAAGTTAAGGCATTTGTAGCGCAGAAACTATGTTTAAGGGCTATTTTCAAGTTACGAGGAACTGAGTCGTGTATCCCATATTTTAAAAAACATAACATCCTCACTTTGCCAAGTCTGTACATACTTCAGGTCGCGCTATTTGTTAAAAACAATCCCAATCTATTTACCTTCCGTGTGCGCGTAAGACACGAAAATAAATTACACGTAGTTCCAAGCAGAACACATCTAATGCACGAGAGCATATTCTGTATAGTATCGAGGATATTTAATAATATTCCGGGAGATTTTAATAGGAAATTACATGACCTATTGGAAAATAAATGTTATTATACTATAAATGATTACCTAACTGACAAATCCCTGCTATAATATTCTATACCAAAATCATGACGTGTTCAGTATTACCTATTATACTTATTTTAATAAATAAATTATAATAAATATTTGACATAAGCATTTATTGACATGGCATATGTAATTTCTCTAATAATTTCTTGTTTTATTATATAATTAACTGATTTGAACATTAATATTGTATTTGTATTGTAATTTTCGTGAGACATACTAAATAAATTATTAGGTTTTCGGCTTACTCACGTAGTGATTCGACGAGGAACTCAAGGACTAGTTTCAAGCCATGCTAGAGGCTCATATTCATGAGCAGCCCGACAGTCGCCGCGTCGCGGGTCGCGAAATGCTGCTCATGAATATGAGCCTCTAGCATTGCTTTAGTTTAGGTTAGTTAATTAACAGTAACTAACGTAAACTAATGTTAAAGATTATCTCAACTAATGTTAAAATTTCAAAGGGAAGAAATGTTAAATTAAAATTTAATAAGATAAAAGACATTATTGGAATGCATGACATAAACTCATAACAAAGTGAACGGACCTTTTATTTGGGTGATGACACCCGGGCACAATTAAAGTCAAAATCGTTTATTTCCATTAGACCAGAAAGGGCACTTTTGGACATCGACAAAAAAATTAAAGTAAAGCTATTGCTTATTCCAAGGATTCCTATGAAGAAGAACAAGCAAGAAACTCCATAGGTTACTCTTTTTCAATCAGGTTCACATACAATTCTCTGGTTACATAGTTTAGTTGTTTGGATGGCGCGAGAACAATGTAACACTAAAATCCAGTTAAAGAGATCAAACAAATTTAACAGAATAAGTAGTAACACTTTTGTAATAACTAGAGACCGGATAATATGCAACATAAAAAGCTTAAAATATGCATGCAAATATGCATGAAAAATGCCTAAAATATGCACGAAAACTGACAGAATATGCAACATTAAATGAGTTTTTTTTGTTTTGTAAATATTATTCCTTTAGATTTAAGTATTTTGCGACGTGAACACTTGTCTTGACATGTTGGTCTATTTGAAACTTTTTAGTGCACGAAATGTTTTTCTCGCAAACTCGACAATATAAAACATTTCCGTCGTAAGTAAATGTTCCAGGAAATTCACTTATCCACGAAGACAAACTTTTTTTTTCGGGATGCATTGTACACACACAAAACTTTGTCTCTTTCATTTTTTGAGTACCTACCAAAACAAAATACGCGCGGCTGCCGAGTTCGCTACGCTCGAAAAATACCTAAGTACTGTAAATTATAGCAATAATATGCATCATCACTAGATATTAGTAAAAATATGCTATTAGCCTTGAAAATCGCTTAAATATGCAAATGCATAAGCAAATATGCAAATGCATATTATCCGGTCTCTAGTAATAACAAAGAGGCAAGTTGTTTCTTAAAGATTCTCAATGGTTGCTCCTTAATGCTACTTGGAATCTTGTTATAAATGACAAGTGCCTAGGACACTTTTCTTTAATAAAGATGTTTTGTAACCACTGGTACATAGCTTGTCTTTATATTGAGACCTTATAGTTGTATTCCGGTTAGTTGTACCCTTTAAAGAAGGGAATAATTTGATGTTACTTTTGACAAAAATAAAAACATGAAACGGTCATAATATTGATCTCCTTAAACTGTTTTCTGAGAGATTTGAGACGACCTCGGTTGTAAATAAGTGGGCGTTTTCTCCAGCCCAATCCGAAACAGGAACCTACCAAAACTTTTGTGTCCAGTAAGCATCTACGTCAGGCAGTAGTTGAGGACACCATTCCGTTTCTCAAGTCACTCCTCAAAGAGAGGACTTACCGCTGGAATGACAGCGAACCCAGGCCTCGCTTGTGACAGCCGTTGCTGCCATTCCGCAATCAGATCACGCCGGAGTTCATCCCGCCACGCACTAATTTGACGCGGGAGCGAAGTTTCGCAGCGATGTGTCTCGGCGCGCAAACAGTGTAATTCAATGAACGGGTCTGAAGTCAGTTTTAAGTGTGGGAGAGACATACTTCGGCACGAATGGGCTGACTCGACCGGAGTGATACCATATGGCCTCACAAAAAACCAATGTGAAACCATTCTGTGTCGCAAGTGTTTCGTCGTGTGAGTGAGGTTACCGGAGACCCTCACTACTCTACTACTCCTCCCCCCTTCTCCAATCTTCCCAATCCCTGAATATCCAACAATCCTTAAATTCCTAAACCCTAAAACGCTGGTAACGCACTTAAAATGCCTCTGGAGTTCCGTGTGTCCATAAATGAAACCGATTGCTTGCCATCAGGTGATAAAAACCTGAAGTAAACAGAATTGTGTCGCGATGATGACAGTAGAGAAATCTTATCTAGACAAAACTGATCCATAATCGATCTAATTAATGACTAATAATTTAACAGATAACTATTGTCATGTTTACGTAAACACTGGATGCGGAAAATGATTTGAATATTGATAAGAATTTGATGGATATACTAAATTATCATTGCAAAATAAGTACCTAATATCAGAATCTTAAGCCTCATTTCCTGTTTTTACTGTTTTATTTTATGTGTGGTTTTAAGGTAAATCTAAACTAAACTAAGTCTAAACTTAGTAATTATACCTTAATGTGAAAGTTTGTGCGTTTGTCTGTTGGTGTGTGTATATGTTTGTTACTCAATCACGTCAAAGGGTTGAAGAAATCGGGATGAAATTTAAAATAGGGGTAGATTACGGTCTTGAATAACACACAGGCTACTTTTTATACCACGGGAAGGCGTTTGACGTCGCTGGGAGAAGCTAGAAACTGTTGAAGTGGTGGATGTGGTTGAATAATAGATAATAGCTTGTTACATTTTCGTAGTTTTATTATAAATCACACAGAAAGCACATGATGGGCGCCATGCAGACGACAAAAGGGAAGAATACAGATGACATATCGACGTCTATGAGAAACTCGCCAACTTGACACTAGATGGCGCTACTTATATTATTTAACTTAAGATTATAATATTTACCTTATTACAACAGAAACAATTATAAAATGCAGGCACCTGCTTTCTTTTTTATAAGGACGAGCATTTGGATTGCCTGACCTGTTGGTTGGTGGGTCAAGACTAATTTGACAAAGAGTAATTATCTTTATACTTAAGACTTTAGGACACATATTGGTTTTTGGGTTTGCGAGAAATTTGCCGAAATATACCGCGGCCCCGGCTCACAGCAGGAATTGGAACTGGGTGATTTTTGATCAGTAACAGTCTGTCACTCCCTTACACCTCACTTACAAAACAGGACACATATTTATAGTTAGCCCTGTTCCGTTTTCCATCATATTACACAGTGATGTAGACCTTAATACTGGTCTTATAATATTGACAAAGTTTGTGAGAGACTGATTCTACATATGGTTTTGTGTAGTTTAAGTGACAATGCAATGATGGAAGTCAGGAATCCAAATTGGGATAACCTTTGCTATGGGCTCGTGCCCTTTCCCTTTCAAATATGGACTAATTATATATTCCGTGGATAGTTCCGCTAAATATACTTTATACAGTATACTCAGAGAATTACCTCTATTTGTCACAAAAAATTGTGTTTTGTTTTTTTGATTCTTGAGTTCGGAAATATGACAAGCTCTTGTACGTATTAAAATTACTTTTTAATAATGTTAATAACAATTACTACAAATTGTAAAATATGTATTTAAATGTGCAAAAGCGAGTGAATGTTCGTTTGACTTCTTAAAGAAGATGAAGAAATTGATACAAATAATTGCGTAATACAAAGAGATTGCTTCGTAATTTCATATCAACAGTATGTATACGATACTCCACTGTTGGACTATGAGCCTCCTCTACATAAGAAGGTTTTGTCATCATCCCCGCTGTCAGATTGGACATCAAATCGAATATAAAAGGTTCAGGTTTATCAGAGAGTGCTGCTGCCCGGTCTCTGTCAAATGTGTAGTCCCTTAGTCAGGTATACGAACCCGCGGCATGATTAGGAGTGGCTACCGTAACCACATGGTACACACGGCTACACATTGAGTTTTACTTAACCAGTATAAACTGAACGTTAAATGTTCGGAAAGATGATGCGACGCGACACCAGGATAAACCGGTTTTGTATAGATTGATGTGTGGCCGTGTGTATTATTGCCTGATATTTCCTTATATTTTATTAATATGATGCAATATAAATGCAACATCTTTGATTGAGGATAATATCAAAAAAATGTTAAGGAAAAGCATTATATTCTTTCCTGTGGTTTATACCCACACAATCCATTTCTATACATCATCATGCCTCATTGGCTGGGTGGTCGCAAGTGCGAACGCCGGGCAAGGGGTCTCGGGTTCGATTCCCGGGTCGGGCAAAGTATTACTGGGGTTAGTAAAAACCTCAATAGTAGCACGGAGTCTGGAAATGTGCCCGGTATATGGCAATAGGCTCACCCCCTGTTAAATGGAACTCATAACATAAGTAGTGAAAAGTGGGTGTTACATTGTACAGTGGCTTTAAGTGCCGTAATGTGCACTTCTGCCTACCCCTTCGGGGATAAAAGGCGTGATGTTATGTTATGTTACATCATCATGCGTATAGACACGTATAGTCCACTGCCTCCCACAGTCCTCTCCCCAATGACTAAACATCGCGAGGTTGAAAGCGACCTGCATACAGCGACTGTCTTCACTATTTCTAAGTGCTTTGCTGGCCTTTTTGGGGGCAACGCACCAACAAACGCAAAAATGTAGTGCCGAAGATATAGGCTAAAGTACAGATACACAATGTAACACCCACGTTCACCATTTATGTCGTGAGTCCCGTGTAAGTAATAGGGGATGAACTGCAGTCAGTGCACAAATAAGACTCTATACTAATCACTTTTAGGTCTAAGCCGATACGGAGCCGCGGAGAACGTTAAAGGTTGCCGGGGCTCCGGCTCGAAGTGCAGGAGTAGGAACAGTGTGGTTTTTAGTCAGTAAGAGTCTGACACTCCCTCCCGCCTCTCCTAGGCGGAAGCAGTCATTGGATGATATGCCGCCCTTAAAAAAAATACTAATCAATTATTTTAAAAATCTCAACACAGTCTGAAGACCCTTTGAGACTATTGAAGCAAAGGGCTTCTAATATTAGCATACATTTTCTATCACCAAGCAAGCTGCAAGACAGGTAGGTGGTCAGTGAACTAAAAACAAAAAATAAAAGCAAAAACGACTATTTTCGGTCAAATAATTAAAGGCAGGTGGCACGCGCCATAAGTATTTTTTTAATAAAAATTAAGTAAATTTTGAATCTAAAATCGCCGTGATATAACCAACTATATCAGTAGTAACAAAGCTTACAGCCCGCCTGATGGTAAGCAGACACGGTAGTCTAAGTACACCTATAACACCTGTAATACTGGTGTCATGAGTGCGTTGTCGACGATGTAGAAAACTGTCTAATACGCGTACCCTTTAGCTCTGCAGATGGCCTAACGGATTACCGGACCTCCTCCGGCTGGAAGCAGGAGTAGGACCAGTGTGGTTTTTAGGCAGTAAAAATCTGGCACTCTTTCTCACCACACATAGAAGATCACCTATTGAATGATCCCCTCTTAAAACAAGAGTGCTAGCCTCTTAAATTCATACATCAGTTCCTATAGAGGCGCCGGTTAAGAGATATAACAAAAAAAAAACTGTAGCAAAAAATAACCCAGGCAATTTTGAAGGCATACATTTTTTTGCTATTCATAGGTTTTGTGATTACAATTCAATGTTACGATACGGCAATTGTTTCTTATTCCGTTCTTCTTTGTTTCATATTCCGTTAGATGTACTTTGAGATCCACCGTATACAATATGATGCAATAGAAAAAAAAAATACAATCAGAACTATGTATATTCCTATCTTCAAAGTTTATCGTAATAATCCTAATTTAAACATTATCGACATTATCATTATTATCATATTATACTTTTGACGCATTGGCACGATTATATTCTTGTCTTTTTAAAGAACTATTTAACTCGTAGAGTACCGGTTTTGTAAACACAATTATAGAACAATAGGTTGCGGTCACCGGTAACCGCTTGGTGTTTGACAGTTTAAAGCCAAAAAGAACGAATAGACATACCGACGTGTTAGATTTAAAGTGTAGGTGCTATATACTCCAACGATATGGTTTGGTGCAAGTTCAAGTGGAAGTGTATCTTATTTACATTTATAATCTTATTTAACGATTTATCAAAATCACTACCTGCTATTAAATCTTCGTCGTTATTAAAATCTGATACCGAATTAGACAATTATAAAAGCAGCGTTGCCCCAATAGCTTTTGAAAAACTTTTTAATAATTATAGTGATATATTGGATGAGAATAAAAATGTGTCTGGCGGTGATGTGACTGTCAATGCAACCCGAAGTGCTGTATTCAGAAATATTAGACCAGGTCAAATTGTACGTTCGTATGTAGTAGAAATAACAGTCAATGGAAATTCATTCAATGGACGAGCTGTACTGGATGTTCTATTAACCGCAGATACTAGAGAAGATTCTATCATTCTTCATGCTGAGGGTTTAAGTGTCAATTCGGTGAAAGCAGCAATTTTAGGTGGTTCAAATTTCCAAGATGTGGACTTTTATGTTGATGATGGAGAACTTGAAATTTCTCCAGAGAGTGTAGCTTCTATGTACTCGATTATTATAGAGTACAGTGGACAACTATCAAAAACTGGACGTGGCCTTTATTTAGGAGGAAGCGACCAAAAGTAATTACTATTCCAGTTTGTAATGGTTTATTTTATTTCTTGTTTGAATTATTTACATTTTGTATTAGCTCGTTAATTTTTTAATTCGATAAGTTTATTTTAAATTTCGACACAATTAAAATCTAGATGTTTGTTTCCAGCACATATTTGGCAATGAATCTACATCCAACATACGCGAGACGTGTGTTTCCATGCATGGACGAGCCCACAGAAGCACCTATGATCTCGTTCTCATTTGAAGGCCTACATTATACTCATGTAACATCGAACTCTATACTATCAGAAAACAGCCAGTAAGTTTATATATATGTAGTTATATGAAAGAAATGCGGCAAAATCTCGACTGCTAGAAGACCGCTAGAAAAATACTGGTACTTAATACATTTTAATTTTTTTCCAGGACCCAATTTCTACCATTGGTAGGTCCGCCTCACCTTTGGGGTATGATTGCACACAATTTTATAACTGTCAACATACCGACTGCTAACGTAATGCTATTTTCAAGACCTGGAGTTTCCAACCAAGATTCACAAGCCTCCGTAGCCATAAATTTCTTCTTCCATGATTTGAATGAATGGACTCAAAAGCCTTACTTTGAAGTGATACAGAATCAAGATGGCCGAATGAACATAATGGTGCTACCTGATGTATCTACAGACTGGAACTCGCTCTCTACAGTCGGTATTTGGTGGGTGTTTGAATTCTTGAATTTGTTGCTATATAGGTTTAAAGAATCTTTATTCTCAATTATAACATACATGCCACTTACTTGAGAACATAACAACATAGGTAGGTTAGGTTAGGCTCGACAACATCTGGACAAAACATGACAACAAATAAGTCCCATCCAACACATTCATTTTTCGGGTATTTGATTAAGAAGTAAATATTTGTAAAGCTGAGTTTTGAATGCGTTGAATGAGTGCAGGTTTCTTATGCGTGAAGGTATTTTATTATAAAGCTGTGCTCCTTCAAATGTGAGCATTTTTTTGCCATAATTTGTTCTTATTTTTGGTAAAACCAATAGACTTGCTCGCCGGGTACTTCGTTGAGTGACTTGTTTGTGTTGTGTAAGAGTAATATTTGAATGTATGGTTTTGTTAAGAACTTTTTTGATAAAAATGCATATGTTGTAAGTGTATAATTGTTTTATATTCATTAGTTTTGTGTCTTTGTATATCTTTGTCGTTGCTGTTAGGTACGGATAGTTGAAGAGCATTTTTATCAGTTTATTTTGTGTGATTTGTAGTTGCGACAGTTTTGTTTTTGGTGCACTGCCCCATATTTCAATCAAGTATAACAAATGTGGCTTCACTAAAGAATTATATATAGTGTACCGTAATCTTTGTGGAATACATCTGACTATACTGTGCAGTGCTCCGACTAATGACGAAAGCTTATTTTTGACGTAGTCAATGTGAACAGTCCACGAGAGGGAGCTATCTATTCTAAGCCCAAGATATTTTTCGCAGGATTTTAGCTGTAACGGCTCATTATTTATTGTAAGTGGATTAAATGGGGGAATATGTTTATTTTTTGCTGTCGGACCGACCAAATAACAATTTCTTAACAATTTTTTTAAATTTGTGAAGCGAGGTATTGTGGATATCAGGCACGCCCATGTCACTCGAGAGTAGCTCGTTGTACTTGCGACACATCCTTATCACAGGATTGTGAGACGATACATTGTTGTTGCACATTGGCAAAGAGAAAAACATCTCGCGTCTAACAGATCTGGTAGGGATCCTGAGGTGAATCTGCGATAATAAGCTCGTGGCAAGGATCCCATTCATAATTTTAAACAAATATACCAAGTCCTGGTAGGACCGCCTAATTCCCAAGTTCGGCAACCCAAAATGAGCAGAACGCTGTGCATACGTCTGAAGTTCCCTTTTTAAGCCATACCTATGAGACATGAAGCGCACAAAACGGCGTTGAGTCGACTCAATCAGGTCAGTATGTACCTTATATTTAGGATTCCAGACTATTGACGCATACTCAAGTCTGCTAAGCACAAGGGACCTGTATAGGGTGATAGCACTGTTTTGATGTCTAAAATCTTTAGACATGCGACATATGAAACCCATAGTTTTCCTACATTTGCTGGAGATATCCGCACAGTGTACGTTAAAAGAAAGTTTGGAGTCGTAAATGACACCCAGGTCTCGTACTTCCGCTAGACGCTGCAAGATGTGGTCATTTGCGGTGTATTCAAAAGTGATTGGATTTTTTGCACGTGTGAATGTAATAACTGAACATTTATTCACGCTGAGATCCATGCCATTCAGTGCACACCATTCCAGCAAAGTGTTGATATCAGACTGTAACTGGTTACAGTCTGTAACATTGCCAACACGAGAGAAAATTTTCAAATCGTCCGCATATAACAATGAGTGGTTCAAGAGTTTAGGAATCAAGTCGTTAATGTATAATATAAAGAACAGTGGACCGAGGTGAGATCCCTGTGGGACTCCTGAGGGTATAGATACCCTGTCGGAGTTGTAGCTTCCTAGGGTCACAATTTGACTCCGATTCACTATGTACGATTCCAACCACCGCAAAAGGCTACCATGAATCCCCCAACAAGTATCCAACTTACAAAGCAACATTCTGTGATTGACTCGATCAAAGGCCTTCCTAAAGTCAGTATAGACACAGTCTACCTGTACATGATCGTTAAAAGCTTCAGAGATATAGCTCGTATATTCAAGTAGATTGCTGACAGTCGATTTTCCCTTCACAAATCCATGTTGTTCCGGACGTATAAACGGTTGAATATGATAATACAACTGGTCATACACTAGAGACTCAAACACTTTTGCGAAAGTAGATAATATGCTAATTGGTCTATAATTACTGCAGTCAGAAATGTCTCCAGCCTTATGAATTGGGACTATGTGAGCTAGTTTCCACCTTGCAGGAAATACACCCGATGATAGAGAGGTATTAAATATAATGTGAAGGGGTACCACCAGGGCCTTGGCACAGTCTCGAATGAAACAAGGAGGGATAGCGTCAGGGCCTGCACCCTTATTCCGATCCAAGTTTATCAACTTCCTGTAAATTTTACTCTCAGTTATCGAGACAGTGGACAGAGTTTGGTTAAAAAGAGGTAAGTCACAAGAAATACTCACCGGGTCAGCGCTCTCCTCCACGAAAACTGATGCAAAGTATTTTGAAAACATGTTACTTATTTTACCTCCGTCACTAACAGTTTCATTCCCTAGCTTCATGGTTTTCGATATTGCGCGGCTGTTTCTTTTATGCTTAATGTAAGTTTTTGGTAAAACCAATAGACTTGCTCGCCGGGTACTTCGTTGAGTGACTTGTTTGTGTTGTGTAAGAGTAATATTTGAATGTATGGTTTTGTTAAGAACTTTTTTGATAAAAATGCATATGTTGTAAGTGTATAATTGTTTTATATTCATTAGTTTTGTGTCTTTGTATATCTTTGTCGTTGCTGTTAGGTACGGATAGTTGAAGAGCATTTTTATCAGTTTATTTTGTGTGATTTGTAGTTGTGACAGTTTTGTTTTTGGTGCACTGCCCCATATTTCAATCAAGTATAACAAATGTGGCTTCACTAAAGAATTATATATAGTGTACCGTAATCTTTGTGGAATACATCTGACTATACTGTGCAGTGCTCCGACTAATGACGAAAGCTTAATATAGTATAAAGTAAATATAGCTATATAGCTATATTTACTATACATATACAACTGTAGAAGTGTGAATTCTGTACATTAAAATAAATAGTAGTCCCCCCGCAGTAAACCCCTACTATTTATTTACTAGACAGACACCGAATCCATTTAATGTAATTAAAAAAATGTTTGTCTGTCTGTACGTTCACGCATCACGCAAAAAGTACCGATCCTTTTACGATGAAACTTGGTATTATTATAGTTGAATATCCTGGGCACCACATTGGGTACTTCTAATCTCGAAAAAGAATGTACACGAAAAAAAAAACTTAACTGAGGGTCTCGATCCTTAGACACAGTTACTGTACCAAATATAAGTTTGTCGAATGTTAGATTGCCCACAGTGGATTTTACGCTGTAACTGTGGGAGCGATGGTTTAATTTAACTTGAACCACTATTATAAATGCAAAAATATATTAATCTGTGGGTTTGTATGTATTTTTGTTACTCAGTCACATTATAGCGGGTGAAGGGACCGGGATGTTTGGAACAGGGGTACTTTATGGTGTGGAGTAAAACATGGCTGAAGCTAGTTCTAAATAAAATACTCTTCCTTCCTTCTATTTTTAATTCATACTGTATATTTTTATGGTATAAGCCGGTAAACGAGCAGAAGGATTACCTGATGGTAAGCAATCGGCGTCGCCCATGGACACCTGGAACACCAGAGGCGTTACAAGTGCGTTACCGGCCTTTTGAAATTAGGAATTTTAGGATTGTTGAGGATTCAGGGATTGCGGAGAGGGATGGGATGGGGGGGGGGGGGTAATTGGGCATTCGGTAATCTCACTCATACGACGAAATACAATACATTGTTGTTTCACGTCCGTCTTCTTTGAGGCCGTGGTATCACTCCGGTCGAGCCGGCCCATTCATGCCGAAGCATAGCTCTCCCACACTTATAATCTATCCGGACAAAATATACAATGGTCGGTTTATTGGGCCTGCAGTTAGTAATTATTTAATTTTATCTCATGGAGCGGTGACTCCATACTAAATGCCATTGCTATGTTCAACACACGTTCAAAGTTAACCAAAATTAATAAATAATGAAATTATTTACACAGGGAGCCCTACGTATTCATGGAACGAGTACATGCAGTGAAACAGAGGGTGATAGCACTGACTAAAATAGCAGAAGCTATGTCCAGGCAATGGTTCGGATATGTGATCTACCCGGAGAACTGGAAGCACGAATGGGTCGTCGCAGGATTCACCACATACTCGGCATATGAAATGATGAGGCTGGTGAGAAGTTTACTATAGAAATTGGCACTTCCCTTTGCGATAGAATAATATTTTTATAAGGTTACAATACAATGATAGTGGCAAGTTGTTATAAGTGAGCAAAATGGGCCAACTCGCTCGGTGAGACTCCACTTTCGCATTATACTGGTGTGAAGTAATGACGTAGTATCTTTTTGCCTGATAAGCGAGCTTAGGACATTTAGAACATTAGCAAACAAACCTGTTTAAACGAAGTTTGTTTATTATATTCTTGTTTTTAACTTTAATGATATTTAGCCAACGTCATTATTTGCTTCAGTTCCAGGGTCACATCAATGTCAATGATGTAAATTGGCTAGACGTTAATACATTATTCGTAACTGAAGTTATACAAGAAAGTTTGCTACGCGATGCCTACATCAACTCAAGTCCATTAGAACCTGCAGGCAATCTTTTTGATGAAAATGCAATAAGGGATCATGTTAATGGACTCGTCAAGTTAAAGAGTGCTGCGGTCATGAGAATGATCAGGCTTGTGCTCGGTGACGAAGATACCGACTTCATTCAAATAGCAGCGAGAACACTCCTTAATATACGGTAAGTATATAAATATAGTGGGATCAGTAAGATCAAAAAAACTTACAAGTCATACCAGGCTTCTTATTCATGAGCAACGGGTGGGGCACGGTAAAGTCGTGCAGCCATTTTTGAAACCAGTCGATATTCTCGAATATGTCCTATTTTTAATTAAATTTTCACATATTCTCCACCTATTATTATATATTTTTATTGTATTTTATAATTAGAGCTATCGATATTAAAATATGAAGTGATAACTTTTTTACAGATCCCTAGAAACTATTAATACATTGAAATTCATAGATGCAATAAACAATGAATTAATAGAGGTAGGAAACAGTAATGTTGATGACTTTGATGAATATTTAGAACCATGGGTAAAAAGCAACGGGTATCCTCTTCTACAAGTTGTAACCACAAATAACGGCGTTTTGTTGCTTCAGGTAATTATAATTTTACATGTACTTTGCTTTATATGAATATTTATACTAGAAACACGACAGCATTTGGATTACATTTGGAAAGGTTTATAGTCAGCACAAGAAAAGTTAGACCCTCAGTGCTTGGCAGTCTTGTTCTTGTAGTGGTCAGGTTAACAGTGGGGTTAGTAAGAGATGCTAAGAATCTCTAGAGGCGAACTGGTCCTGGTAACATAAAAAATTCGCACCTTAAGAACTGATGATAAGATTGTTGAGTTGAAAGAAAACATGGTTTGGTGCGCTTCTGAAGTGTTATGGAGATATCAGAAATCCATATATAGGACGAGGACATGGTAAACCTTAAATACCAGCAACCTATTTTCCTACTGGGAGGGTAACAAGTTGTTTATATTTCTGTTTTCTTTTTGTTATTTAATAATAAGTCGTGAACCTCTTTAAGCTGATAATGGTGATGATTTTAAGCCACTTATTCGTAATCAGTCATTTACCATCAGTTTTCATGCAATCGTTTTTTGTCTTTCAGACCCCATTTGGTTTCACAAATAGAGATTCTCCAAGCCGTCTCTTACCAATAACCTACACAACGAGTATAGAAAAGAACTTCGATAATATTCATCCGCAGTTTATGTTAGATATAAATCATAACATAAACGTATTCTTAGACGAAGAAGATTGGATTCTGTTCAATATTCAGGGGCAAGGTGAGGACAGAATTTTGTGTAATAAGCCATCATATTACATTAATTGAAATATGGTTTACTCTCGTCAACTATTCGAAAGGCAACGTGAGTAAGTCGTGTTGTAATTAAGCGAAGAAAGATGTTAAACTATTTTGTACGGTCTTTATAAAAAACAATCTATATATATAAAAGAAAGTCGTGTTAGTTACACCACTTATAACTCAAGAACGGCAGAATAGATTTGGCTGAAAATTGGCAAGGAGGTAGCTTAGAGCCAGGAGACCGACATAGGATACTTTTTGACCAATTTTTTTTTTACTTTTTACCGAAAATCACGAACGGGGACAGGAAAAATAGGATTACGCGTACGAAGTCGCGGGCAGAAGCTAGTGATTTAATAAAACACTTATTTTAACGATGGTACCACCTCACATCAGACATTGGCCCTTATTATGGGAATTATTAATACGGGAAAGTATTAGTCAAAATGAGGTACACAACGTCCTTGATTTATTTAGATTGACATTTTATTTTTGTATTATTGTAGGATATTATCGCGTTAGTTATGACGCGACGCTTTGGGAAAGGATTATTAACGCTCTTGAAGTTCCTGAAAGGAGGGCAGAAATACATCCTCTGAATCGTGCTACTGTGAGTATTCTTTATTGAGTTTCCAGTTGTTTTTAAAGTAACATTAGACAGTGCAAAATATGAATTATTTTAATTAACCTAACTGGATCACACTCATTTGCCATCCCTACTTCTAACACGGGTGTAATAATAATAGAACTAAAGCTGAAATACTGAAACGTTACTCATTTTTAAGTCGTGCTTAAATATCTATTTCTGTCATTTCACAAAGAGTTTGTAGTGACAGAACTATTCTTAAGCGTGACTTAAATTTGAGTAACGTTTCAGTATTCTACATATTATTATACGAGTCTACATATTATTTAACCGCATCGCTTTCAGATTAACCTAATCATCTAAAGTGCAGTTTTCTACACGCCATTCTGAATAGCCTCTCTTTTATAGACGTGAAATATAATAATCATAGCAAAGTGATAAATTCTTACTTGCAGCTTGTAGACGATGCTCTTAACTTGGCCAGAGCTGGACAGCTGAGCTATGACACAGCATTTGCAGTAGTTCTGTCTATGGAAAATGAAACTGCATATGCCCCGTGGAAAGCTTTCATCAGAAATATGAATTTCTTGAAGAAACGGTTAGAAGCTTACGTTTTTGACGATGAAGATTTAGATTCTGATATTTATTTGGTAAGAGCAGTTGCATTGCAGTATTATTTTCAATAAACCCGTATTTTGCAAGGTAACCTTGCGATGCAGATGATATTAGCTTCTTATTTTATTATCATTCTTGAGAAGTGAGTTTACAAACCAATAGATTATTGAACATTTTCTTTTATTTTCGTATCCTATTTTTCCAAATTTTTTATATTAATTTTACTTGTAAATATTTTAGTTTTCATTTATATTAGTCCTAGCTATTTGTTGTTTAGTTTATATCTATATACAGGGTGTCTCTGAAGTCGACTATCAAATGGCATCAGGCGATTGGCAAGGTGCCAATAGTTATCAGAAAAATATAAAGAATTTAAGTCATATAGTTCCTATATTATAATGACTTACGTGTAATCTACGAAAAAGTGCCAGTCTTTTGACCCTTGTTGCTACAAGTCTTATTTTTTCGTCTTTAGTTTTACTTACGTTATCCTGGGTATTGCTTCAATATTATGGAATCATATATTCTGAGGCGACTGCTCTAATTTGGAAAATGAAAATAAAGTAGTTTTTTGACGAACCAGGTTTTCTTAATAAATTGTTAAACTTACTTGAAGTGATTGTTCTAAAAAAAGTCACCTAAGATGGCGCATTTAAAAAGAAATCTAAAATGGTATACCACTCCCTATATTGTTTCTTAAATTCGACTTGTCTAAATACTCTTATTATTATTATGGTTTTATATTCTATAGTACCTAATGATACACTTATATGATTACTAATAATTTGTATTGCAGAAAATGGTCCGTAGAACAATAACAGCTTTTGAAAGAGAAATAACGTTCTACCCTTATACATATATAACTGAGCCAGCAATGACCTCAATGACTCGAGGTCTGGTGATGGACCACGCTTGTAGAGCTGGATACAAGCCTTGCATCGCTGCAGCAGTCAGCTATTTCTACGATCCAAACGATAACGAAGAAGTGTAAGTGTAACGAAGAGTTTGTTTATTTGGCAAGCTTTAAATATAAACAATTTTTTTTACAATAATTTGGCGAGGAACGCCATGTTTCCATAGAATCATTGAAAATCTATATATCGAGGGGTAATAAACACAACAAAAAAAATTACCCAAATCGGTCCAGCCGTTCTCTAGCTATGGCGTGACATTGTAAGGAAAGGGTTCTTATGACAGAAAAAAGTCCTGAAAATCGAACGGGAGTAAACGGGATTGTGCGTACAAAGTCGCGTGCAGATGCTAGTATTTTTAATATTTATTAAACAATTGTTTATTATTTTTGTCCAGAAGTAAAACATATAATTTTACTTGACTTGACAATGGCAAGTCTAGACAAAATATAAAACTAAATAACCAGGATCGAATTAACACAACAATAGACAGAAGATAATTAAATGGCACATTTTAAATTCATATTTCAGGAATCCTAACATTCCACACGAAATCAGATCAGTAGTATACTGCACTATGGTGAGAGAAGGTGGTGATGAAGTCATAGAAGCCCTATATAACAGGCTGGATATCGAACCGACCCATTACGAGAGAGTCGTCATTCTGGAGTCTCTAGGATGCTCAAAAGATCCCAATTTTATTAACAGGTAAGTAAATGATAGGTAATTAGTGTTATTAAGCGCCTAATGCATTTATAATAGCAAATCGCAACTATATATATAATTACTATTCTAATAATCAGGCGTTACGGAGCAAGATAAAGGTGCAAGAAAAGTAGGAATTCATTCTCTCAGCGTCCGCAACACTGTTAACACACTAATTAAATTATAAGCTTTTTATTGTTAAAGAAGGATTTTATTTCTTCCATTGTGTACCCAAATATACAATTAGTAACAACTAAAGCTTTGTTAAATATTTGTATCATTATTGTAATAATTGGTAGCGTAACCACTGAACTCCTCGAAACGTTGACGTTAACAGACGTTCTCATAACTAAATAACATTTCAGACTACTCATGCAAACTATAGCAGCAGATAGTCCATACGGTGTTGAAGAACGAGTGAAGATTTTCGCTGCAGTGGCAGAAAGCAGTTACACGAATGCAGATCTAGCTCGTGATTTCATGAGGTTGAGAGTCAATGAAATAAGAAACATGTACGTATGTCTTCAATGGATGATGATTGTCTTCAAAAAGAGGCTTTACAATAACTATTGTTGTTACTTGTTCAGGTATGGCGTTGAGAAACTTGAAGAATTGATATATATCCTCGCAGAAAATATTGCCGGCAAGGATTTATCTACAGAGGTAAGTTGATAAATTATAAAATTAAAAATATATATAAAGTAAACATACATTAATACTAGTCCTGGGCACAACGGCTCTATATCAACAACGCGTTACAACGCTTACTTATGTGATGATTCTATCTGGATAATTTAATTTAATTTTATAATTAGCTAGTGTAATTAAAACTAAGAGGGTACGATGAGGTTGGCATATTCATGTGGATAAAAACTCAAAATACATTAATAGAAATTAAAAAAAAAACGTTAAGCTTCATAAAAAAGCATACTATTTTGTCTGTACCTACATGTATTAGTTAGGTTGCGCAGCGCTGAACACAATGCGCGGAGTGCGAGTGCGATGGCTGTGCAGCGCTTCGACAGATGCGTTATGCGTAATGCGTTATAAGTAAAATATTCATTCCATTCGCGTAATAACACTAACAGCATTATGTTATGATGAATTTGGTGTTTACAGAAACAGAGATACTCAATTTTACTGAACAGAAATATTTGATTAGTTTTAGATCTACATGTGTCTACGAAGTTAAATATTTACAAATTAAAAACAAATTAATATTATATATAAGAAAACACAAGTAGATAAAATGAGTTCAAAATATACAAATACTTTCACGTACATTAAGTATTGTAAAAATCAAAATAACAACAAATAGCAACTAAGTTGAATGAACTACATTCGGAAAATAACACAAGAAATTCCCCGAAATTGACGACCTGCGCTTTTTGGTCGCAAATTAATATTCAATCTTAATCCTATAATATATGTCGATACCTAATCTATACATATCTTTTAACTACTGACGTGGGTGTCTCATAGACGGCGTGTTCACGAATATAAGAATTTTCCAAAAAAACGTCCAAATAATTGTATTGTAGCTAAGATTGTAACATATGTATATTTTTTTAAGTTATGCGAAATATTTATATTTTAAGTTTATAGAATTTGAATCAGAAACCGCTGATTTCATCCGAGAACGTTGTATTTTTTGCACTTCCTTAATAGAATTATAATGGACCGACCAGAATACAAGTAAATATTGTGAAAATCAGTAAAAAAAAGTAATCCATTTCGATTAATTATTAAGGTGTTTGACATACGTCACGTCACCGTTTATGGTATGAGTAAACCACGTCAGGACTTGAAGGATATAAAAATGAAACTCGTTTCCCGTTGTCACGCCATAACTTGGGAACGGCTAGACCAATTTGGCATTTTTTTTGTTGTGTTTGTTATCGTCAGGAGAAGGTTCAGGTCATAAGGACAGAAAAAACTCCTGAAATTCTTACGGGAATGGGAGAAATGGAATTGCGCGTACGAAGTCGCGGGCAGAAGCTAGTGAAAGTATAAAACAACGAAATCAATGATTAACGCATATTCATCGGCAACGTATTCGTTGCGAATATATGACCTTCACGCAATGGCGTTAAAGTCGATAATAAATATTAGTAGAAAATAACGACACCTCTTGTTACTTTGAGAAACAAAATATTTTGACATTTCATTTGGTGACTCAAAAGTTTCTGCCAAAACGTAATAGATGGCACTTAGCGCTAATAGCAGAACGCAGTAAAAATAACAGGCTGCGTATGCTTTTTTTGCAACGGCTGTATTATTCTGCTATATAAATTATATATAACGAACACCTCTAATTAATAGCAGTACTCAGTAGCCGTCGCTTTTGGTAATTAGTTAGCCTCGCTAGTCTAAAAATGAATGAAGTATTTTTACCTTACTGAAAATATTTTACAGCTTGTCAAGTTGGTTGTGTTATTGTTAAAAAATGTTTATTTTAGTGACTTGTGTCTGATGACTGTATGCCTATAATCACCAGACATAATCCAGACATAATAAACAAATACTCAATTGCCATAGAAGAAAAAAAAAAAAAAAAAATAAACAAATAACGTTACGTTTATTATTTTACTTGCGGAAATTGTTCTGCACATCTGTGTTATTTTCTTCTTACATAAAACATGGAACTAACACAACTAATAACTAACTCAACAAAAAGTTCAGGTATTCCTTCCAGCCGCCATTAGCAATACGTTCAGCGATTCATTTCTATAATAATATAACCTATAAAGGTTAGTTAAAAGAAAAAAGCAGCTGTGCTTTCTGGATTAGGTACGTTTGGTAGTCGTATTCTATTAATATTAAAATATTGTTTACAGTTTGAAATCTGGGTGCGCAGTATGAACAACTACCTGGATGGCTCACAAATGGTGGCCGAACGTGCACTCGCATATGTGCAAGAGAACCTCAAATGGGAAGACAAATATATAGACGATGTATATAAATTTATTTCTCACCTCGGTTCCGACGATCCTGTTGATCCCGTTGATCCCGTCGATCCTGTTGATCCCGTCGATCCCATTGATCCCGTCGATCCTGTTGATCCCATCGATCCCGTTGATCCCGTCGATCCCGTTGATCCCGTCGATCCCGCTGATCCAAACCACTCCCCCACATTAATACCGTCACTATTAGCTCTCTTTGCATCTACCATAGTGGCAATACTCTATCATTAGAACAATAATTTATCTTTATTTGGACATGATAAAATGGGACTACTAATATTTGTTCACCAGATGAGGCTTCTCGTCAACTCGTCGATTAAAAATTTTGATAAATGCTATTTGGTGAGCAAAAAACGATAGCACCCTTTGTGTAGATACTTTAGGTGAATTTACAAATGTTTCAAATATTTGTAATTATATAAATACATATATTTAAATATAGAAAGCTAAAAATTTTACCGTGTTTATTATTTTATCAATCTTACCTTCTTAACATTGTGTAAACTTTCAGAGAGTCTCAGTCGATGCAGTTAGAAACTAACATATCATCTGCATAGCCATAGTTGTAGTAGCAGATAAAATCAACATAATAGCAACAAGTAATATAATAATATCAAGTTTGTTGAATATTAGGTTGCCCTCTGTGGACTTTACACTGTAACGGCCGATGGTTGAAATTAGCTTGAACCGATATTATAAATGTGAAAAAATGTGACTTGTCAGTCACATCAGTCCCATCAAAGTGGCTGAAGGAATCGGGATGACATTTGAAACAGAGGTAACTAGATTATGATCTGGAGTACAATACATAGGCTATTTTTTATATTTTGGGCACGCGGGCGATGCCGCTGGCAGAAGCTAGTAGTTAATAAAATGCTTCAACCCATTTATATTTTTATCGCAACAACAAATTCGGATCGATTGAAAAGAGCACGGAATTTTCCATAACTAATTCTGTGACAAATTCGGGGGATTCCCCTTTCTTTGAATGGCATTTTATAGTGACCGCTGGCAACACCGTCTACGACTTGCGGGGATACCCGGGTATTATTATTTTGTGCTTATCTTATTTACTCCGTTTGGTAAGAAGTTACGATGAATTACATCGACACTAGACCACCGAACAGTGACTATCACTAGGGGTATGTTTTCGTTTAGGTGCTGAATCAGGATCCAGCCAACTTGCTGAGCACTTGCGGTTATCACACAGACTATATTTTTCATCGCAGGTAACAATGCTGATCGAAATTCCTTCATTTGTGTGTCTGTTGAGCAGTGCAAGGCACGTCTCAATGCGAACTTCTCGCTGGCGATCAATGATTTGGTGGGGCAACCATTTGTTAAGCTTGTTTTACCTTGCGACGGCCACCTCTCGCGTCCAGTTTTGGTTCAAACCATGGTACTGAGCGGGGGGGACTGAGATGCCGTCTCCTCCTTCTGCAAAGCAGTCATGCAAGCTAAGGAGGAGGCGGGGCGCGTGCGGGAATGAAACGCCTCAGGCCCTAGCCGTCGCGTGAGACTCTCCGGGCGTCAGACCACTACAGATGAGGCCCAATAGGGCTGATGCCGATACGGATCCGCGGAGAACTTAACGGACTACCAGGTTTCCGGCTCGAAGTGCAAGAGTAGAAACGGGGTGGTTTTTAGTCTGTAAGAGTCTGACATTCCCTCTCGCCTGACCCGGGCGGGAGAAGTCATTGGATGACTTTTCCCCCTTAAAAAAAGGTTATGGCCTGCTTATGGTAAGGTTATGGTTAAGCCTAGTGGGCTTAGTCATGGTGTTTTTATCTCATGATAGGTCATAGTATGCTATATGCACTTATAGACTAACTCTTTTTTGAGTAATACGATGTAGGTACTGTGTATAATAATACTTCACTATAATATGTAATCATTCCCACATAATAACTTAAAAACAAATCACCATGCAATTGATAAAATTGGGGAAGTACCAACCAATTCCTCCCTCAAAATGAGGTGATGATCTCATGTTTTGTAAAGCCGTATACGCACACAGACAAATCTATTGTGTTGTATGCCCAACTACTCGGTTTCTAAGTGTGTGCTACTGAACATCGAGCACTTAGTAGGTACGTCAAACAAGTTTACGGTAGTCCTATTTTTGCATCCCGTATAACTCTTCGTATAGAACTTGGTAGACTACAGGTGGGCCGAGGGTAACTAATCCTATATACGAGGGGAACTAATACTAATCTTTTGATTCAAAGTTTAAAAAATATATATACACGGTCTCCACTCTATCATGGCTTTGCACCATGTACTCTTTTCATGTGCAACGTGACCAGCCCACTCCCACTTAAGCTTCGCGATATGCTATGTGACGTCCTTGACTTTACTCTGCTGTCTTAGCCACTAGTTTCTTTTGCGGTCTCTGAGCGTGACGCCTATCAGCTTCCTTTCTACTGCTCTTTGGGTTACTTAGAGTTTTTGGAGAATGTTCTTTGTAAACACCCAGGTCTTAGGCCACCGGTAATTTAACACTGGTCATATATGCGCGTCTTCTGTTTACTAGTAATGTTCATACGGAACCAAGGCGAATTCAAGTTTGGAGTAAGCCGCCCAGGCCAATTTTATACGCCTATCAATTTCGTCGGCTTGGTGGCCCTTTCCCATTACCACTTCTTGTCCCAGATACATATATTTAGCCACTCACTCAATAATGGCGTCATTTACTTTGATAGAAGTGGGGGTGTTGGAACAGTTCGTTATGACCTTGTTTTATCCAGATTCATTTCCAAACCGCACCGTGCCGAGGCATTACTAAGTTCCTATATCATGGTTTCAAGGTCAATCGAATTGTCTGGGAACAGTACGATGTCGTTAGCAAATCTAAGATTATTCAGTCTTTTGCCCACAATGTTGATGCCGAAATCTCTCCAGTGTAACATTTTAAAAACATCTTCTAGTACCAATGTAAAGAGTTTTGAAGAGAGGGTATCGCCTGTCTTACTCCTCTCTGTATCTCCACGGGTTTGGTCTCAGGAGGTAAATTTACTTTTAAGGTGGCGTTCTGATATATATTCAGTACAGTATATTCACGTGAGTAACCCGCGATTTTACTTAATCCTTGAGCTTTCTCTTGAAAGTACTTATGCTTTGCAGTTTTCTAATTGGCGGAGGGATATTGTTCCAGCACTTTGACGCTGCATACCTGAAACTACTTCTGAATGCAGCAGATTTGTGTTGCGGTATAGCCTGCTGCTGCGGCACAACGCCTACCCTCTCGCGATGTGCATTCACCCACAAAAGCTTCGAGTAGACGTATGACGGACATTTAGTTCTTATGACACCAAAGAGAAGAAGGCCATTAAGCTTACGACGTTACTTCATTTTGAACAAATTGTGTTTATTTAAATAAGATGTAATGTAGTAAATTTTTTTCATGAAAATGCAAATAACATAACATAACATAATCACGCCTTTTATCCTCGAAGTGGTAGACAGAAGTGTACATTATGCCACTGTACAATGTAACACCCACTTTTCATTATTTATGTTATAAGTCCCATGTTATAGAGGGTGAGCCTATTGCTATATACCGGGCTCCGTGCTACTACTGAGATTTTTTTGAAAAACCCGGTAATACTTTACCCGACCCGGGAATTGAACCCGCACTTGCGACCACTCGGCCAATGAGGCAGTCAGTAAAAATACAAATATTACCGAAATATTTCTGTATTTTATTTCTATTATTATATTAAAATAGTTCTAGATTTTATTCAAAAATGATTCGCGTTTCATATTCAATTGGCTAATTATTATTTAATTTTGTCTATCAACAATTTTGGCTGATTAATTGATTGATTTATGAATGTGAAAATAATTATTGACTCATATCTATACTGATTGATTTTGAATTTAATTAATACATACAATTTGGCTAAAACATACCCAATATTTGCATGCCCAATGGGTAGAACAAAGACATATGTAACTCAAATAAATGTCATCTTTGTCACTATGTACCACACCTTTGTTCAGTAAATAAAGCTACCGATTTGATTTGATTTGATAACAGTTGTACCTAATCTTAATTGATAGGTATTGTAACTGTATCGTGGTTGGAGTCAAATCATGTTTGGATTAATAAAGGTGATTGCAAACGTTAGATAAACTGTTCTACTTAAAATCTAACAACCTGTATAATGCAAAATAATTAATATCATGACTAGAACAGTCAGCAGAAAAAAATCTATAATTAAAGTATGTTATGTACGGTATTAACTCGTCGAGTACCATCATTATAGACACAATTATAGAACAATAGGTTGCGGTCACCGGTGACCGCTTGGTGTTTGACAGTTTCAATTGAAATCTTATATCTTATACTATTATATAAAGCTAAAGAGTGTGTTTGTTTGAACGCACTAATCTTCGGAAATGCAGGATTTGAATAATTCTTTTTGTGTTGTATAGTGCATTTATCGAGCCGAGAAAAGCGTGCAAAACCGCGCGGAAATAGCTTGTATCTATATAAGAGAGCGGCAAAATAGGCTTCCGTCTCGGGCGTCCAACACACACGCTACGCCACTGGATTCAGTCAACCTCTTTATTTAAGAAAAGCTCTCGAATTTTCTGCTTAAATGTTAAAAGAATCGACACCATCCTGATATCTAGGGTGAGAGCAAAATTGCCAACATGAAAACGGAAGATTAAAAGAAGTCAGTGTGATGAATGAGAAATTGGAGAAGACTGTTATAATAAGAATGCCGGTTTTTGCTGTGATTTGCGCATTTGTATTGGAAGTTAGGAGATAGACAACTAAGCGAAGAAGGTGAACAAAGAAAGGATAATGGAGTAGCACCCATTGCTCACTGCGCTGGCGTATGAGTAGTCACTTTAGTTAAAGCCATCTTTTTATCAAACGAGCAGACTAATAAATTTTATATTGTGCTTTGGTTATTTTAGTAATTGTAAGTAATTGTTGTTAAAACGATCTTTTTAATACAACTAATTATTGTTTGACTTTGGAAAAAGACGCATCTCTCAAAAAAGGTTATGGGCACTAGATTTATTGGTGGCGTTTTATATCATGAGCCTATTACCTATACTCAGTTTTTTGAGTACATTGAACTGTGTATATTAATATTTATAATCACTCTTACATATTATCTTAAAAACATATCACCATGCAATTGATAAAGTCGGGGAAGTACCTACAATTCTTCCCTCAAAATACTTGCTTTACGTGATGATGTCATGTTCTGTAAAGCCGGATACGCGGATACTCTTCGTATAGAACTTGGTAGGCTACAGGATGGGTAAGCACGGGCCTGCAGACGGCGAGTATGGGTAGCTTGCCGCCCGACAAGATTCAGACCCGAGCGAGCGCACCGCACGCGCCTCAACGAGCCATCAGACCACCATGGATGGGGCCCAATAGGGCTGATGGCAATACGGAGCGGAGGACCTGACGGGTTGCCGGGGCTCGAAGGGCAGGAGTAGGAACGGGGTGGTATTTAATCAGTAAGAGTCTGATACTCTCTCCCTCCTCACCCAGGTGGAGGAATTAATTCGATGATTTTCCCCCCTTAAAAAAAGACTCCATGTATCTTTTGATTCACAGTCTAAAAATTTTCCCACCATCTAGTATCTGTTGTCGTCGGTTGTGATGCAAACTTGATTGAACAATAATTTTGATTATGCTGTCTATAAGTACAAACTGAATGATCATGTTTAATGTTTGAGTTTATTACTCTCAATGTGAGTAGCGGCGTGTACAATTGGGCGGTCTTATTGCACAAGGTGATTTCTTATAAGTAGATCATCTTTGGGTGGAGCAGTAGCAATATTCTAAGCTACGATGACTACCAACTGTCAGGCGGCCTAGAATTTTTGTTAATAGTACGATAAAAAAGAAATGCTTATCATCAATATTTTATCTAAACCCAATTGAGACACTATCAAAATTATTTCGTATCTCTTAAACGATTAAACATTTTTGTGTTTTATTAAGACCCATTTGTGTTAAAAACGAACTAACAAACGGACGTGTCAGAACTAAAGTGAGGGACCCTTTAAACGCCATCGATATGGTTTGGTTTAAGTTCAAGTTTAAGTCTATCTTCTTTACTTATATATTTTTATTCAACGTTTGTACGAAATCACTACCAACTAATAAATCAAAATCAATAGAAAATTTTAATATCAATTCTGATACAAAAACTGCTGGAGAACTCTTTAAAAATCAAAGTGATAAAAATGCGGATGTAAATAAACATATGTCTGGCAGTGATGGGCCTGTGAACGCAACACGTAGTGCTTTATTTAGAAGTATTAGACCAGGTCAAACTGTACGTTCATATGCAGTAGAAATAACAGTCAATGGAAATTCATTCAATGGACGAGCTGTACTGGATGTTCTATTAACCGCAGATACTAGAGAAAATTCTATCGTTCTTCATGCTGAGGGTTTAATTATCAATTCAGTGAAAGCAGGAATTTTAGGTGGATCGAATATCAATGGCGTCAGCTTCTTTAATAATGGTGGAAAACTTGAAATCTATCCAATTACGGCGGCAATGGTATATTCTATTATCATAGAGTACAGTGGACAACTATCAAACATAGGACGTGGCCTCTATTTGGGAGGAAGCAACCAAAAGTAATTAATTTTCCGACTACAATTTTTTTGGGGTAATCGTTTGAAAAATAGTTCTTACTGCTTAGATATAAACGAATAAATTAAATAAATTATCCTACCGATCATTATCAACAACATTAGTAACAGTAGGTGCGCTTTAAAAATGATCATTAATTATTATTGTCCCTCTCTTAGATCTGATCACAGAAGCATCAGATAGTTATAAATTAAATACTATAACATTTCATCACAATATTTTACAACGGCTTAATACCTTAATAGCTTTTGTGTTCTTGTTTTGTTTTGTACATACCTAATAGTTTTTTATATTTATAAAAAAACATTGTTTTTTATATACGAAAAAATTTTTTTCCAGCACCTATTTGGCAATGAATCTATATCCAACGTACGCAAGACGTGTGTTTCCATGCATGGACGAGCCTACAGAAGCATCTACAATCTCCTTCTCATTTGTAGGTCTAGATTACACTCATCTAGTATCTAACTCTATGCTAGTAGAAAACAGCCCGTAAGTTATATCAAGGTTTCAATCATATCACCAAATTTCTATGGTATTAAGAAAAAGTAAGTAACAATTTATTATAATGTAACTTTTAAATTTATTACAGAAGCCACTTCCGTCCATTGATAGGCCCGCCGCACCTTTGGGGCATGATTGCGCACAATTTTATAAATATTAACACGCCGACTGCCAATGTTATGTTATTTTCAAGACCTGGTGTTTCTAACCAAGATTCACAAGCCTCCATAGCTATAAACTCATTCTTCAATAATTTAAATGAATGGACTCAAAAACCTTACTTCGAAGTGATACAGAATCAAGATGGCCGAATGAACATAATCGTGCTACCTGATGTATCTACTGACTGGAACTCACTCTCTATCATCGGTATTTGGTAAGTGTTGGAGTTCTATTATTTGGTTAATATTACCGAGACATCATTATTTCAGTTTGGCGCATTGCGCCGTATTGGTCCCATGTTATAGAATATCTAAGGTAACTTAAAAAATCACTGCGGGAATATGAATACAAAGTCTTAATTGTTGTACAAAATACAGAATTTAGCAAGTTTTCGATTTTACACTGATGTTTTAATAATCGTTCAAAATTTAAAAAGGATTTAGTTAAGATTGAGAGTCCATATCGGCCAAAATTTATTTTGAAATTATTTACACAGGGAGCCCTACGTCTTCATGGAACAAGTTCATGCAGTGAAACAAAGGGTAATAGCACTTACTGAAATATCAGAAGCTATGTCGAGACAATGGTTCGGATATGTGATCTACCCGGAGAACTGGAGGCACGAATGGGTCGTCGCAGGATTCACGTCATACTCGGCGTATGAAATGATGAGGCTGGTAAGAAATTCTACATGGACGGTGATATTTCTCCTTTCGATTTAACATTTTTATAACACGTGTAAATATAAATTGTGATTGTTTATTTTAACCACTCATATACATATGGCTAAGAAAACGATAACATCTATTATCTCAATAAGGACAAATAAGCAAATTGTTCAGAAAAGGACAAAAACTGGAAAAATAATTAAATTGGAGGAAGTACCTAAGTCATTATAGAATTTACAAACATAATTCCCTTTTACCGATGCCATTAGCATAGTTAAGTTATTTCAACGCCTATAGTTAAGTTATTTTAAATATAGTATATAGTGTTTCTTTGTCTGTAATTTTATTGCTTCCTTCTTTTTCATGTCAGTGTTATGACATACGCTAACTAGTATCACACAATATCCTCAATGTGTTATGTTTTATTGTCCTCAATATATTTTCAGTATCTTGAGGTAATTGTTAAGATTTGCAAGTGAATGGTGGTTAAAATCTGTAGTGAATGATAGTCGTATTTATTTTATTTTAAGCAGTGTTCGTCCCACTGCAGTGCAAAGTCCACTCATCTCTTCTTAAAGCTTTCTGTGGCTAATTCTTTTCTTAGGCGTCGAGTTCATCCTGCCATCTCCTTCTGGGTCTACCGCGACGTCTATTGACATTAATAGTCGTATAACTATTCGGATTAATATTAAATAAAAATTATAAACTTAGGTACGTGCCAAGTGCATTGCGTTTTTACGATGTACGACATCATAAAATTATTTAGCTTTATTATAAGATGGTCGAATCATCTAAATATAGGCTCTTAATTAGTTTATATCTAATCTTGTTTTAATTTTGACAGTAATTCTGTGACTCGAAATACGAACTAAAAACTAAGTATAATATAATAATGCCCTTGGTTACAGTTCCAGGGGGACAATATTGGCACTGATATAAATTTACTAGACGTTAATACATTATTCGTAACTGAAGTTATACAAGAAAGTTTGCTACGCGATGCCTACATCAACTCCAATCCATTGGAACCTGCAGACAATCTTTTTGATGAAAATGCAATAAGGGATCATGTAAATGGACTCGTTAAGTTAAAGAGTGCTGCGGTTATGAGAATGATCAGACTTGTACTCGGTGACGCAAATAAAGACTTCATTCAGATAGCAGCGAGAGCACTCCTTAATGTGCGGTAAGTGATGAAGGGCTAGTAGTAATAAAATTCACTTTACAATATGCTTTACAACTGATATTGATTTCCTTAAACAGATTCTTACATAGTTCTTTAATAATAATATAGTACTGAATTTTTTAACAGATCTCTAAATACTGTAAACTCAATGACCTTCATAGACGGAATAAACAGTGAATTACTGGGAAGTAACAATAACGTGATAAATAACTTTGGCGAATTTTTAAAACCATGGATAGAAAACAGTGGGTATCCAGTTTTACAAGTACTATTCATATCTAGGACAATTTGGCTGGCACAGGTAATTACTTTAACTACTTAATATTCGATAGTCAGGTTTCAGTTCAAATTTAACAACAGTTAGCGTAATCAGTTTTAACGTATTGTTTGTATTTTAGATACCTTTCGCCTTCACCCATAAAGAGTCCAGTGACTATCGCCTACCCATAACCTACACGACGAGCGTTGAAAAGAACTTTGAGAACATTCATCCCCAATTTATGTTAGATAGAAATCAAATATTAGACATATTCCTAAATGAAGAAGATTGGATCCTTTTCAATATTCAAGGACAAGGTGAGAAAAGTTTTTAAAACGAGTTACCGACATTTGGGATAGATTAGTTTTGGTGACCATATCCGAAATAACACAATTCAATGCTAAGACGCACATGGTATGATTTTTGTAAAACATAAAGACCTCGATTTACCGATAGACGAATATAATACTGCAGAAAATATACTTCACCTAAGTCTCGGGGTCCTTTCTTGGTCAAAAAAACCATATTTTAATTTAACGTTCCTTAAAAATACCTCTTTATATTAGGTACTAGCGGCCCGTCCCGGCTTCGCACGGGGGGACTTAAGATTTTTTACATAATTTTACGTTTTATTTATATTTATTCTCAGTTTTTTTTATTTAGGAAGTATTTACCTTTTGAAAATATTTTTCCGGACTTCATTTACTTATTTCATTTATTTATGAACAATTCATCTATAGAGCATTTTTGTATAATTTTAACTATATGCTCAGCGCACGCCACGGAAGGCCTCAGAAACGATACTTTTCCCCCGTTTTTAAAACATTTTTGGTTACTGCTCCACAACTATAGGACCTAGCGTGATATTATATAGCCTATGTTACTTCTGAATAATGCAGCTTTCTAATGGTGAAAAAATTATTGCAATCGGTCAAGTAGTTTATGAGTTTATTCATTACAAACATACAAAAATACAAAAATACAAAAATACAAATCTTTCCTCTTTATAATATTAGTATAGATATAGACTTGCAGTGTCCTCTATGCGTTTTTAGATGTGGTGTGTAATTTGCAGGTTATTATCGTGTAAACTATGAAACTTCACTTTGGGAAAGAATAATCAAAGCTCTGGAAGACCCTGAGAAAAGAAAAGATATCCATCCCTTAAATCGTGCGACTGTAAGTATCCCTTAGGTATATGTAATTACTAGCTTCTGCCTGCGACTTCGTACGCGCAATCTCGTTTTCTCCCGTTCCCGTAGGATTTTCAGGACATTTTTCTGTCATAAGAACTTTTTCCTGACAATAATAAACACAACAAAAAAAGAATCAGCCAAATCGGTCTAGTTATGGCATGACCACGGGAAACGGGTTTCTTTTTTATATATATAGATTGTCTTTATTTATTTATCAAAGTTTACCTAAATTAACTAAATCACCGCGCACGCTGCTCATGAGGAAGTACCCCTCTGTGGTTCGAAACTAGTAGAGCTTTTCTCAGTGTATTCACGTGAGTAACCCTCGATTTTTAGTTAATTTAGTATGGCTTACGATAATTATTATAAAACACTGTTTACCAATTTATATACGTAGATTATTCATGAAAAAAAAATCTGTGTGCATTTTTTTGCAGCTTGTAGACGATGCTCTTAATTTGGCTAGGGCTGAACATTTAGACTACGAAATGGCACTTAGAGTAGTTCTATCTATGGAACATGAAACTGAATATGCCGTGTGGAAGGCTTTTGTCAGAAATATGAATTTCTTGAAGAAACGATTAGAAGCATACGTTTTTGATAATCAAGATTTGGATTCTGACATATATATGGTAAGAAAAATATTGCATTATTACATATTTTGATGATGAAATACAATTGGTACAAATTAATGGTAAAATACGTAAGTTAAATCGTTTGGTTCTACCTAATACCGGCAAGAACCGAATGCCCATTATGGTTGGAGGAAGGTTCCTTAAAATTCTTGTGATACACCTGGTGCTGTGAATGCAACAATATATTTAGGCAACGGTTATCGACTATCATTAAGTTATTTATCAGTCATCTTATCAGTCTTAAACTTTGTTACTACTGTACAGCAAAATAAAAAAGTAGACCTTAATGCTGCTTAAAGTGAAACTCTATAACCGATTGAATGAAATGAACCAATGCGTTGATTGAATTGGTTATAGAGTTTAGCTCGTTTGGTATATACTTACTATTAACTACTTCGTTAAAAAAAATACATCTATATACATAATTATACATGTATATTATAAAAATAAAATATATTATTTACTCTGCAGAGAATGGTCCGTAGAACAATAACAGCTTTTGAAAGAGAAATAACGTTCTACCCTGATACATCTATAACTGAGCCAGCAATGACCTCATTGACTCGAGGTCTGGTGATGGACCACGCTTGTAGAGCTGGATACAGACCTTGCATCGCTGCAGCAGTCGACTGGTTCTACGATCCTAACAATAAAGAAAAAGTGTAAGTAATTAGAGAGATTATTATTACTTTAAATTATTTATTTCTTCTTCACTAAAATAACAATGAATGGCGGACTTAATGCCTTAAGGCCTTCTCTAATAGTCAACCATAGGGAAGTGCAGAGAAATGAAGCGGTTGATGCGAAACCAAAACACAATAAAAAAGTAATTATTATATAATAATAATTACGTATACTACACATATAAATAAATAATATATTAATATAATTTATTATAAATCTATATAGGCATGCATATATAACATATACTGCTAGATGCCGAAAATACCTAATACATACATTTTACAATACATTATAGAAAACTTATTCGGAATGGTTTCCTCAATTGTTTCAAAATGCTCGCGGACTTTAAATTTATAGACGGAACTGCAATTTGTTGAGAATTATCTATATAACATAAAATATACCGAAAAAAGAAATGACATCAACACAAACAATCTAAAGTATCAGTTTTAGTAAACAAATTAACAACCATCGCTTTTATCTAATAATTTTATCGAGTCATCAGTAGATAAAAAATAACACATAATCAAGAATAAATCGAGTAACATAACCAATCCCAAGCAAATATCATCGAATACCAATTATATAATAATTCTCTTAAAAACTACGTTTAAAAAAACAAACCCCTCATTTTCTAAATCGGTTAACTATATAAATACTAAACCCTTCCTACCCTAAGTGTAGCAAATACTTTTCTGAAAACTGCGCCAAAATTGGTTTAGTCAATCGCGAGATAGTCGCGCATATACATACATACATACATACATACATACAAACTGAGAACCTCCTTCTTTTTTTTTTGAAGTCGGTTAAAGATTGAAACCATGAATAAACACAATAAGAAATTAAAACTATACGATTTCGAATGAGATTTAGTTTCGTACACATAAAAAGAAAAAAATGATATAGAGTAAATAAATCGGACCATGTTTAGTTGGACTTAGATGTTTTGGTATAGTTATATCTTGCTTATACAATACATATATATCTACTTATTACATAAGATATTTTATACAACTCGATATTAGCCAGTCTAGACAAGAAAACTAAGACGAATTAAGAAGTTAACACAAAATTATAGAGAATACAACTAACTTTGCGTTTTACTTTGATATTTTAGAAATCCTAACATCCCACACGACATCAGACCAGCAGTATATTGTACTATGGTGAGAGAAGGTGGTGATGAAGTCATAGAAGCTCTATATAACAGGCTGGATATCGAACCGACCCATTACGAGAGAGTCGTCATTTTGGAGTCTCTAGGATGCTCAAATGATCCCGATTTTATTCATGGGTAAGTAAAAATAATGGAGGTTTTTGTTGGTATTCCTCGTGTTACTAGTACACTAGCTACTAAAGTGATCACTGTCATTCCCGAAATATGGACTTTAGCACGCGTTAAATAACAAAATAACATTTCAGACTACTCATGCAAACTATAACAGCAGATAGTCCATACGGTGTAGAAGAACGAGTGAAGATTTTCGCTGCAGTGGCAGAAAGCAGTTACACGAATGCAGATCTAGCTCGTGATTTCATGAGGTTGAGAGTCAATGAAATAAGAAACATGTACGTATGTCTTCAATGGATGATGATTGTCTTCAAAAAGAGGCTTTACAATAATTTTTGTTGTTACTTGTTCAGGTATGGCGTTGAGAAACTTGAAGAGTTGATATTTGTTCTCGCGGAAAATATGGCGGACAGTGATTTAAGTAAAGAAGTAAGTGAATACATGCTGTATACATTAAGCTGTAGACAATTAGTAAACGTAAATTGACAGAGATGATGACGGGGTATGAAGAATAAAATCTATTTAGTCAGTCATTTAGGTAATGGAAAAAATATTAGACACGTATTTGTTGTATAAGGAAATAATATTCAGACGAAACGACTCAAAGTTTAATAGTAGGAGCTAACGTCATTTCTACGTATAAAACGGGCCTAGAAGTGACGTCACGCGACATCGCAAATCAAATATCAGAATCGAAAGTATTCGTTTCTATTAGAAAATAACGGGTCTAATGTTTAAAAATAATGTACCTAACAGACGTGTGTACGTTAAAATAAAAGTTAGTCACGCTATTGTGGTCCTTATCTAAAAATTGCTACTTTCATTGCAAAATGTTTACTGAATAATGAAAGTACACAAACAATCCAATTTCAATATTTTTCTTGGATAAGAAAACTGGACTACTTACTTAACTACATCAAAATTCGGTTACTTATGCTTTCTTAATATGAAACAATTTGTTCGCAGTTTGGAATCTGGGTGGAAAGTCCGGACAACAACCTAAGTAACTCACAAATGACTGCTGAGCGTGCACTCGCGTATGTGTATGAAAATCTGAAGTGGGAAGAGCAGCATATAAATAATGTTTATGAATCTATTTCTCACGTCGCTCCTACTGATCCTGTCGATCCCGTCGATCCTGTCGATCCCGTTGATCCCGTTGATCCCATCGATCCCGTTGATCCTATTGACCCTGTTGATCCTGTCGATCCAGTAGATCCTGTTGATCCGGTAGATCCAGTTGACCCCGTCGATCCTGTCGATCCTGTTGATCCTATCGATCCCGTTGATCCCGTTGATCCCGTTGATCCCGTTGATCCCGTCGATCCCGTCGATCCAGTTGACCCTGTTGATCCCGTAGATCCGGTAGATCCAGTTGACCCCATCGATCCTGTCGATCCAGTTGACCCTGTTGATCCGGTTGATCCAGTTGATCCTGTTGATCCAGTTGATCCAGTCGACCCCGTCGATCCCGTAGATCCGGTTGATCCAGTTGACCCCGTCGATCCTGTCGATCCAGTTGACCCCGTCGATCCTGTCGATCCAGTTGATCCTGTTGATCCGGTAGATCCAGTTGACCCCGTCGATCCTGTCGATCCTGTTGATCCTATCGATCCCGTTGATCCCGTTGATCCCGTTGATCCCGTTGATCCCGTCGATCCCGTCGATCCAGTTGACCCTGTTGATCCCGTAGATCCGGTAGATCCAGTTGACCCCATCGATCCTGTCGATCCAGTTGACCCTGTTGATCCGGTTGATCCAGTTGATCCTGTTGATCCAGTTGATCCAGTCGACCCCGTCGATCCCGTAGATCCGGTTGATCCAGTTGACCCCGTCGATCCTGTCGATCCAGTTGACCCCGTCGATCCTGTCGATCCAGTTGATCCTGTTGATCCGGTAGATCCAGTTGACCCCGTCGATCCTGTCGATCCTGTTGATCCTATCGATCCCGTTGATCCCGTTGATCCCGTTGATCCCGTTGATCCCGTCGATCCCGTCGATCCAGTTGACCCTGTTGATCCCGTAGATCCGGTAGATCCAGTTGACCCCATCGATCCTGTCGATCCAGTTGACCCTGTTGATCCTAACGATCCAGTTGACCCAGTTGACCCTGTTGATCCGGTTGATCCAGTTGACCCAGTCGATCCTGTCGATCCGGTTGACCCTGTTGATCCGGTTGATCCGGTTGATCCGGTTGATCCGGTTGATCCAGTTGACCCGGTCGATCCTGTCGATCCAGTTGATCCTGTTGATCCCGTAGATCCAGTTGACCCGGTCGATCCAGTTGACCCTGTCGATCCCGTAGATCCCATCGATCCGGTTGATCCTATGGATCCCGTCGATCCCGACGGTCCAGCTGATCCCGTTACTGCAAGTCCTTTTGATCCAAACCACACGTCCACTCTTGTTTCGTCACTAGTAACACTCTATGTACCTATCATTGCTATAATGCTACATCGATAGAGTCATTTTTTCACAAGCTTTATAATTAGTATGCACAAATTTAATATGTGCTATTTCATAAATAATGTAGGTTGATCCTGTCGATCCAGTTGACTTACAGTGAAAAAATAATCAAAAAATGAGAATATAGCCACTAAATATTGTAAAATAAAAAACTAAATTTTAAATACTGAAAACAAAAAAAATATTAACTTTATTTTGTTTATCCTTTATGGCTGGTAAATAAATTTTAGGGCAGCATCTAACTGGCGGTGAAAAGTTTTGTAAAATACAGATAAAAGGGTGTAAAAACTAATGAATAGTATTTTTTATTACCTACGAATTAGCCATATTACATATCTACGAATTAGCCATAATTATTTTCCTATTAAAAAGTTAGTCCTACTGGAAATCACGAGGGGTTGTCTAAATTCCATTGTAAGTTACTTAATTTTGTTTTTTAATTTTTACTGGTTATTAATTTTAATAGTTAAGTTTAAAATAAGTATTTAAGTAAAACTCGGTCAAACGCTGTTTCTTTACTGAAGAATATAATACACCTTTTACCAAAGCAATCTTTGCCCGCGTATTCCTGTTTTATCACCTCGGCCAGCCAATGCCCTGCCTATATAGCAAATGTTATAAAAATCCATTCAGTAGTTTCAGCGTGATTGGCGGACAAACATCCAAAGAAAATAAAGAAACTTCCAAATATATAATAATTAGTGTGATGTAGGAAGGTACACGTATAAAATAATGAATAAACATAGAAAACATATTTTATTGTGAGTTTAAATCAAGTCATTTAAATATTCTTATAATATAATTCAGATAAATACGATATAAGCTTATTATAAATTTATTAATGAATATTAAACTCTTAGAATTAGATACATAGATTGTAATATGTACATTTATAGCAAAATATATTTAAAAATCTTAAGTATAACATAAGCTAAGATTGAAAAAGCGTTTATTAATAGTTACCTAATAACAATTATGACTAGAATTATGGTGTTTATTATTAGTGAATAAATAAATAATAATTGCAGTGTCAATGTACTTTAGTTTTTAACAGTAATACAAAAATAGAAGGAATGTGTCGTGTGTGAAAATGGATACTATTATAATATCTATTTATATTAATTTTCTTAAATTTAATTCCAATATTAATCAACCAGCATTTAATAAAAATAAACATATTTAAATATCAAGAGTACGTTTCAACAAAAATGAAACGTATTGATAAAACATATTTTTTGACAACAAAGTCGACGAAATCATTCAAAAAATGTACGAAAATAAAATGACGACTGTATATGATTTTTAACGTAATTTAAAAATAATATAACCACGACAAAAGATATGGTCGATCCCTGGATATTATTATATGTATATAATATAATAATAATTGCAAGTATTAAATAAATATAAGTTACCGTGCAAATAATATATTAATGAAAATTGCTATAAAAATAATAAACAAAGAATATTTCACAGACGATGATCCTCCACCCGTTTGTAGCTTCTCCGTAACAGTTTCAATTGCCTGTAAATAAGTCATAAATTATTATTATTAATTATTTCATAATTTGATTACAAAGTAAAGTATTGAATTCAATTACTTAGAAACAATCCTGGACAAACTCGACAAGTTACGTGATGTTCATTAGTCAATGTTATAATAATAAATACCTTTTCTGTAGTAGTAGACATTGCTATGGGCATTGGTCTTGGCTCTCCAATTGGGGATTTAGCGAAAAATCTATTTCTCTCGCGTCTGAAACAGAAAAAGTAGAAAAAGAATTAGCCGTTTGCACCATGTATAAATAAAATTTAGGTTTTTTTTATATTAGATGGGACTGACGTTTGACCACTATCTCGCCTGGTGGTAAGCGATGATGTGGCCTACGATGGAGCACGTCGAGCCATAAGCAACCTATTCATATGGGCCTTGAAGACACCCAGGCTATACCTTTCAGGAACTATAGACTCTGGCAAAGAATTCCACTCCTTAGCAGTACGCACAAGGAAGTTTGATGCTTTTTATTTATACTACACTTAAATAATACCAATTATTTACTATACCTAAATTTTATTTTGCACTTTATAGTCACGTTTAGTAGGTATGCCGTATATTGGCTGACTTATCTACTCAAATAATTTAAGACAAATGGAGACTTTTTTTGGAGGTAGGACGTTTTAATCAATACATTTTTATAGAACAACTAGCTGACCCGGCAACTTTCGTTCCGCCTAAAAATATTTTTCTCATCTTTTAAACTAAAATTAGCCAAATCGGTTCAACCGTTCTCGAGTTTTAGTGAGACTAACGAGAAGAAATTCATTTATGTATCGTTCATCTATATAGATAACATTTTTCTACTCACACTTTCTTATCAGCGGTGTTCTTGTCATCCAACTCAATCTGGTTCAGTTTACGTAAGAAAGTTTTCATAGATGTGTCGTTGGCCACTTTGAAGAAATATGACATCCGACAGTCAGGGAAAAGGCTAAAAAAATAAAATAATGTGAGGTAAAAACACATATTTTATCAACTTGTTGATGTGGATTTTATGACCAATTTCCTCTTAGTCAATAAGTTGTAAAATACTTCAAAGAGTTGTATTATAAAGATTTGTGAACGTCAGCCGCGGCGCTAGCAGTGGGTCGAGCAGGGAGGGAGGATTATTCTTTCGAATTTCACAAAACCTACATCTAATCATCTAATACATAACTATTATAATATTACTTGTGCTTATGCCTTGTGTCTTCGATATACAGGTCCTTAACGTGATAGTGACAAGGTTCATAATTTAGTGAACAAGCCAGTTCCACCACCGAACTTCTGAACAGCCTCATCAAATACTGATTGTCCTTGCTCTTCACTAGCTGCGTGTAGATTGGAGTTATTTTCTTCACCATGAAACTCTGAAATTAAACATGATAAAATAAACTTTACCTATTCCTTTTCATCTTAAGAAGGTTAGGCTATAAGAAGGTTAATTCACTTATAGCAACTAACAAAACGGCATAAATGAATACATTTCTCATTAGTCATTACTCTTTTAGAGGGTGTCATAAAAGTTAACGAAAAGACCCCTTATCGAATAAACCCGGACCTTTTAAACTGATATCTCCAATCTACAGCCAAGCGTAATCCAAGGCCAAATACGGAGATTATGGCAAATCCCTCTGAAATGTGTCTTTTAAAAATATCTTACCTCCCATTCCCAGTATAGATGTCTGGTCATATTACAAGCAGCTCCCTCAATCATTAGCATATCGTACCCAGATAACACTGATTCCCATACTACAGGGCTACGTTCCTTGTCCAGATACTCCAGAATTTCCATGGCCAGGTCAATATCTAAATCACCGGCTACATACAAAGCAAACACGTCGTTTACAATCTGAAAGAGGGGATAAAAGAAATAAAGATTTACATCATTATATCATTAATATACAAGTTTGAAGAGATACAAAGTTCTGAAATGGTCGCGTGAACGACAGTTGGAAACGAAGAAGAATTGTGTTCTGATACTTCGACTGCAAATGGGTGTCAGCTCTATGCCTTCTTAACTGTTATATTTAATCTTGGAAAAGCTACTAGAAAGATAATTAATTTTATTTATTTTATTTAACTAACATTTAATAACTTGAGGTGGTACGATAGTCAGATATTATAATAAAGTAGTTTACAACTAGTCAAATTTAATACTATTATCAAAACGTCAAAAACGATACTATTCTATGAATTTTGAGGGAAATACCTACCTTATGACGTCATCACATTTTCGCGTCAAATAGCACACTTATATCTAAAAAATACTACAGTAAATTGAAAATAAGTATATCGTTAAATCAATGAATGAAAGTGTAACTATTTTTAATATTTAACTGGACTGAAAAATCAAAATTATTTATTTTTGACCCAGGTATCTACCCAATTGAATACATATCAGACGTAGCTTTATTATGACCGCTTGCTTCACTGCACAAACAGAACTTAAAATATTAAATCTTAAGCAAATTATTATTAATTGTTTTATGGGATAAGCCGTTAATCGAGTAGAAGAATCACCCGATGGCAAGCAATCTGCACAGCCTATGGAAACCTAACCAGTACGTTACCGGCTTTTTGGAGATTGAGGAGATTGGGGAGAAAGGTCATTAGTGCCAGAGACTCTAGGTTTAGTCAACAAGATCAGGTAACTCACTTGAGCTCTATTCAGTTCATCTATGGACATCATGTTCTCCTTCAAAGTTTTGGCAATCAGTCTCCAAGTAAATGGATCGTAGTTGACTCTGTAGTATCCTGTAAATTTTAACAAATACAATTTAAAATTTTTCCACGACAAAAAACGTTTGTTAAAATGGGCGTTATTTATTTATTATTCAGTAGTATTTGTTGTTTTCAACAACTAAATGTTGCAGAATTTTAATACAAAGTCATGTTCAACTAAGACGCCTGCGTCATAAAATATTTGCATTACTTCGTCTACAAAATGCATTGCATCGTGAATAAATCAGCGTTGTTTTACGATCGTGGGTATGTCAGAAATAGATTCATTGCTAAAGCCAAGGACTTGTCAAGTTCAGTAGTTTTATTCGTAGTAGCTCTAGTCTAGAGTCTAGAGATTAAATAGTTACAACTTGTGGTATTTTATAGATCGTTTCTTTTAAAGTTCGTAAATTGGGTTGTTTAATTTGCCAGTTGAAAATGTTAAATGTGTATAAAAAATATTTAATAACTTTTGATGTTGTGTTGATGTAATAGATTAATATTATCACACTTAACCAGAATTTGGTACATCCAAAATCCAGAAAGTACTATGGATTCGTGTCAAAATCGTAAATGTACCCTATCCTAATATAGTTTAGGAAGATATTTCAAAGTAAAATATTTTTTAAGAAGACTTAAAGATTTGATACTTGCCGGATCCCTGTCTGTTAAGTATAATCCATCCATCGTTCAAGACCTCTCCGAAGGTGTAAGTCTGGGCACCGATGGTGAACCTGGGACGGTAACAGTTGTAGCAGTTCTGGTTGTTTTCAACGACATAAGATATGGGTATCAAGAAATCTGTGACTTCACGGTTTTCACGGTTGAAGCTGAACTGTCTCTGAAAGAAAAAGATGAAAATTATTAAATAAGATAAACATTGAAGATCACTTCTGTATAAAACATACGATGGCAGACTTAGTACCAGGTGGTCTTCTGTAACAGTTAACCTTTGTTTCAGGCAATATCCTCATAAATGAATTTACACATTCAGATTTAAATGATTTAAATTAAACTGTTAACAAATATTTCGAGTTCAATATATGCACACGTGTATTGTACCATACTTATCTTTAACGATCACATTTTGATTTTTTATTCAAATTTATGTACCTGCTTTAGTTGAACAGCATTAGGCGAGCGATCTCTTAATACTTGAACATTGATCACTGGGTACCCTCTCCGTCTGAACCATGAACCCAGAATACGGGACGCAGTGGAACCGTTGAAGAACTGGTGAAGGCACTCGATTGTATCGTGGTCTAATGTCGTGGTGAAATCTTGGAGGGATATGTATTTACCTCGCCTATAATGTAACCGAAAACAAAGTTGTTAACTCTTGCAGTTCAGTTCAGACAGTTGTTAAAGCGCCAAATAAAGCGGCCTTAACTAGAGCCATCATAATGGGTGATATTGTTCACTATGTGGCATATTCTGTTCCAAAGGTGGAACACCAAGATGTTCAGGTTCGAAAGATGACGTGGGAGAGGTAGATGTTAAGTATGATAAGCTTACAGAGTGACAACCTGCGGCTATCTAATGTAATGATGTTGGATGGATGCTGATTTAACTTTTCAAATAATTTGGATGTACTTTGGCGTAAAAATAAGCGACGTAAGCCACAGTCATAGTATCTGTTTTATTAGTGCAATAATTACAATGTAAATTAGGTAAATAGGAGAATCAAGAAGACATCATAACAGACCAAACTATACAAAAAAAAAAATTCTATAAGTATATTAGCTATGTAGGTACTCGCCTGGATTTGATATAATTAACCAAAGCATAATGGAATTTGTCAGACTCCACCCAGTTTTCTAGCATCCACAGTATGGCACCAGTCTTCATAGTCACCAGTTCCTTATACCTTGGTGGTATCTCAATTGCCAGTGAAGTGTTGAAGGTATCTAATGCTGGAGTGCTTCGGTGCCAGTCCACTGCCATAGCTTTATGTTTTATTTGAAGACCGTAAGCAGCTAAACGACGTCTTTCTTGTGTCATGATGCCATGATTGTACTGGAATTGGTTAATAAATATTTTTTTATTTACATTCAATCGGGACATCTTAATTTGAATCTTTATTGCATGCTTCGGCACGAATCGGCTCGACCGGAGTGATGCCACGACCTCATAGAAAACCGACGTGAAGCAACGCTTGCTTTGTGTTTCGTCGTGTGAGTGAGGTTATCTGAGGTCCATTTACCGTTCCTTTCCCCAATCTCCCCAATCCCTGAATCCCCAACAATCCTCAAACTCCGATCCCCAAAAGGCCGGTAACGCACTTATTACGCCTTTGGTGTTCCAGGTGTTCATGGGCGACACCGATTGCTTACCATCAGGTGATCCATCAGCTCGTTTACCGGCTTATGCTATTAAACTGTCAAACACCAAGCGGTCACCGGTGACCGCAACCTATTGTTCTATAATTGTGTCTACAAAGACGGTATTCGACGAGTTAAAAAAAAAGAAAAATAAATATTGTGCTTAAAATAAATACGCGGCGTTTAACCAAACAGAAAGAAATAATTTTAATCTATCACGTAATTGATGTGAGAGCCAGTTAAAATGTAAAGTAACAATTTTTGCTTCTAGAAAACGTTATGTTTATCAATAATATTATAAATTATTTCGATCGTTGGATTTTCCCATGACCGACATTCCTAATTTATAAGGGTAACGTCATTCACTTCATAGAAATAAAGAGAATATTTTTAATCTATGAAGAAGACGTATATAAGAATAGAAATAAGCAATTAGTGTTTTTATAATTACTATCGTGAGACATACTAAATTAACTAAAATCGCGGGTTACTCATGTGAATATACTGAGAAAAGCTCTACTAGTTTGGAACCACAGAGGGTTCAGAGAAGAGGAACAGTGAGCTGCGCGACGTCGCCGCGACCGCGCACGCTACTCATGAGGAAGAACCTCTCTGTGGTTCGAAACTAGTAGAGCTTTTCTCGGTATATTCACGTGAGTAACCCGTGATTTTAGTTAATTTAATAAAGCAATGAGTGTCTCACGACCTGGTTCCTCCCATAATGAGGGAAAACCTTCAGTCTGTGTGTTTATGCATTGCTGATTGCATTTGAAATTCTAGTCATAATATTTATAGCTACGTACTTAGCTTTCAATAATAAATTTCATATAAATCAAGGTCAATGTTCTAGCCATTAGGTCACGATGACGAATCGATCTGCTTTGGAACTGTTTTAGCATTACGTCCTTGAAATTTTAAAGTAGCCCTCTATAATATTTGACTGCATGGTGGCGGGGCAACCGGCTGCCGCGCAGAGTGAAGCGTATTCGATTGCCACACGGAGCAACTCTTTGTGTGATCCATAAATTGTTGTTTCGGGTCTGGGTGTCATGTGTATGTATACTTGTCATGTTTTTAAACGCACCTATAATATAGAATAAAATCCTTGTGTTGGGCAAAGTTAAAAAAAAAATAGGAAAATCGAGACATTCATTTGAGAATTTGCTTTGTGCTGGCACCACACATGACCGCACTTGTTTGTTCACTTTATGTGGCACGACCAAAATAGCATTAAATATCCATGTCATATATTTATGGCTTAATTTTAAATAGTTGTAAGCGCATCTGCCCAGTAAGAAGTTTCCTATTCGATGTCAGTACCTATACCAAAGTATTTAATACTAGCAGCCCGTCCCGGCTTCGCACGGGGTAGACAATTATTTATTTTTGGAAATTTGGTTTGTTGTAGTGACATAACTACAATAGTTGGACATATGCTACCGTGGAGTTTTTTGTAGACATTATGATGTTCTTCAATATTGTTGTACATTATTTTGTTCTATCGCTAATAGTTTCGGCAGCGCATTCGACGAAAGACATTTTAAGACTCATTTTTCTTCACCTTCGTTTACATTGTTCAAATTTCACCAAGGATCCCTAATTTTTTCAAAATGAAATGTAGCCTATGTCAAATTGGAAGAATGTAGTATTCTATTGGTGAAAGAATTTTTTAAATCGGCCCTGTACTTTTTGAGCCTATTCATTACAAACAAACATAAAATAGGTACAAATCTTTCCTCTTTATAATATTAGTATAGAAATAGATGCACCAGTGAAAATTATTACACCTTTATCTCTTGGAGGATCAAAATGCATGATATGATGAGTTTAAAGAACAAAGATAACTTCATCAATGCAAATTACCATCATATTGTTTCTATATACTCACTTGAGTCAAGAAGTAGTAAGCCAAGTAAGTGGCCATTCCTTCTTTGAACCATTCTTCTTTCCACCTAGTCCTCTCCACTTCTCCAGGGTTGCCCAGCCATATCCTGCACAGCTGCTGTGCCAGTTCGAAGGTCATAAACTCAATCTGCTTTATACTGGTAAACTGGTCTATTTTTGCAAGTCGATGCTCTCTGTAATACGTAAAAGAAAAAATATATAATAGTGCAGTTGAATATAATTAATTTTGTTAGTTTTTAATGTTGATTGTAATGAAAATGTAAGTATGTATGTAAAAGTTTAATACATTTAGTCGAAATGTTGAATAATTTCCCGAAGTCAAGTTCATTGTAATTTAAAAATAAAATAAATACGAAGTTCTGAAATATATTTCAGCTCACTACACGTGTTTTGAGTAGCATGACTCACGGTGACAAAAAATAGGTTTTATATTCGTTGCCAGGTAAAAATATATACATACATAATTATATTTTTCACACCGTCATCGCGTCGTCGAGGTGTATCAACTGCTGAAGTGTTCGTGTAAAATATATTAAAAAAATCATTTTATAGAAATTCTATCGGCAAAAATAATAATTAAAATAAAATAAAGTCTGCTACAAACATTAATGTAGAATGAAATAATAAAACAAACACATTTTCGAATAAAATGAATACATTTAAAGACGGAGATATTTTCAACAACAGAGAACAACTGGCATATTACTTATTATAACAGCTGATACTATTTAGTCACATCTACCGAGTGACCTTGGCGTCCACGCAACTCCTAAGATTAGAATATAGGTCAAGTTTTGCAGATTCTAGTGCAGGAAGCGAGATTTCTCTAAAATGTTGACGTGGGTTATTTTTTCATTATAATCTGTCTGTCGGCATAAGTGTTCGGTACTTTAGCAATTTCTGTGTAATGCGAGTCGCTGTTTTCGTTATATTTTGAGAAGATAAACTTATTCTCGAAATTTCATTAAAATTTTTCCAAAATAATATATACTGGACAAAATAATCTGAGACGCGTTTGTAGTGAATCTCGAAGAATTTTAAGCCGAAATCAAATACTTATTCTCTAAGTATTGTGTTTCGATCAATCACTATATTCTTTCAATCAATCACACGGGTGTACGAGAGAGTTGAGTGCCCATCACGCAATTGTACACACGGGTCTACGAGAAACGCGCACCGATGGATATTTTTTCTGTGACATATATTTTCAAGTTAGCAACCCGTTCTTTATTTGATTGAACAGAATACTAGTTCATTCGCTTTCTATTAAAATATTTACCCGTGTGTACGAGAAACGCGTGAAAGGTTAACAGCAGTTAGGGTTGGTAATTAGGTAATACCTACTCAAAAGTAAAACTTTTCACTAAGATATATTATGTAGATCGCAGATATATAAAACTATCAAGCAAAAACTATTTTTAAAACCACTCACCCATTTGTTAGAAGATTCCAACTTCCAATTTCATATCCATTGATGTCAGCTGGCACCGCTATCAAATTAATCGGTCCTTGTAGTAAAGGACGATTCTCCTTTGAGTATTCATGTATTAAATTTATTATTGTTATGCCATAGTTGTGAATAAATTGGTAGTCCCGTAATTCATCTTTAGGTGCCCATATGATTAGTGTATCGTTTACTATTCGAGCTTGTACACGACTACTCGCAAACTGAGAGTAGTGGAACCCGACTTGATGAAGACCAACTTGAGGTGATGGGATGTAATCCACAACTATATAGTCGCCTTTTATCCTGGAATTAACAAAACAGTTTATTAATTTACAAGCTATAGTGATCTACAATATTTGATAAGCATGTACACTGTTGTACTAATTTCCTTATGGCATCAAGCATTTCTTTCTTTATTGAAACAAATAGTTTCCTTTTTCATATATAGGTAGAAGCACTATTTTTATGGATTATCAGTACACATATGTGAGCACCATGTTAGACTTTACATTTTTTTTTATTCTGCTTTTTTATTTTAGTAATTTTTGTAATTTGTATAAACGTGTCGTTGCATTGTTCTCACATATATGTATGTACGTACAGTATTAGAATATGTACTAGAGACAATGTAAAACATTCTTTTGGAGTTTCTTGCTCGTTCTTCTCTATTCGAATCTACATTTTGGAATAAGCACCTAGCTTCACTGGCGAACTGACTGATGGACATTTATTTATTTTGTATTTGTTAAATACCAAATTATGGTTTCAATAATTTCTATCTGGGTCAACTTTTCTTATGATAGGTATAGGAATTAAGTGTAACCAAAATCATTGATTTGAAACCTCAATAGATAACCATATATGTATATTACACTTCCTTAACTTGTAAGGATGTACTTATAGTCCTAGACACTTGGTCTGAATTTATAATACAGCCAAAATATTCATAGGACGTGATGCATTTATGACATCTATTCAATACTGTATGACAATGAAACCATTGGAGTCGCATACTTGATGGGTTTCAAGCGTGGGTGATGTGTTTATTTAATAAATAGAAGCTCTATTGTACAAGTCTGTAGTTCTTATTGAATAAATAGGCGATCTCTATGTGGGTGCTAATTTCATAGTACTTTTAAATTCCTTTGGCAATGAACAATTAGAACTTGGCGTACAGTTTTTATTTTCCCGCAAAGTTTAGTCATAGCTTGATATAACTTTATAGTCATACCTATGTAATGTATAACTGTTATGAAAACATGTATATACAAAATTACAACATAGTATGATGCGTTCCTAACTACCAATGAATGGACATAGATGACATCTCTATAGTCAATTTCGAATAGTATCAAGCATGCATCATACTATGCTGTAATGTACTCACTAATTGTAGACATCATTAGTCTTTTTGAAATCGATATACTATAAAGAGTAAAACTGTTCATTTTTAAATTGAAAACATAAATAAATTATTAGATATTTTATAAACTATACAGTTTAAAAAAACCGACTTCAAACCCCTTTTTTGAAGCTGTTTAATTAATATACTACATAAAACCTCCTAATTGTAACCAACACTTTTTTTAAAACCCGTTCATTTAATAGCGAGACAATCACGCACAAACAAACATACGTCCCTTTTTTTGAAGTCGGTTAATAAATAAATAATATTTTATCATATACATAGTGAGTATGTATATACTAGTAGTAAACATCAAAATTGATTCTCTTTAGGACATACGCAATACTGGTTGCCCGTCATGACGACACGACACGTCTTAGCCACAATAATTGACACAATTCTCAGAGTCTAGAGTTGGAGCGGTCGCCTTATAAGGACTACCGTCTGGTGGACCGAGGCGACACTGCGAGCGAACTATGAGATTCAATAATATAAAATAACTAAGACTGCACGGTAGGTGCGGTGGCTGCCGTGCAACGTGTCGCAGGTTCGATTCCCGCACGGAAAAACACTTGGTGTGATCCACAAATTGTTGTTTCGGGTCTGGGTCTATGTGAACTTGTATGTTTATAAACACACCCACGACATAGGAGAAAATACTAATGTGGGGCAACGTTTTTTAAAAAAAATACCTTATTATAAATTGCTTAAAATATGTTGAAAGCATTTTTTTATGGAATGTCTATACATATAATTATGTAGTTTTAACTACCTCATTGGTTATGTATGCTACCGTATTTTCTTTCACCAGATGCCACTAGTGGGATCTTCTCGTTCTTCGTCCAATAGGGAATTAACTAGTATCACAGCATTGGACGTTTCATATTTGACAGCTACTGTGATTGGACAAGAATACCCATTCTACTTTTAAAACGTGCAACTTGGTTTGTCCTTTTGAAGATTAATAACTAGGTAGGTAAGGATTGCATGGTATACTTTGTTTAAGTGTCATTAAATCTCATTCGTAGCAATTTCAAAAACTGATTTAACTTAGGTAACATTGCTAACCGCTAATGGTAAGACCTGACTCTACAAATCGAATGCTCAATCAGTAGATAAAAAGAGGAAAGTTGAAAATATTTTCTATTTCCGATTAGCCACCACCCAAGTTGGAAGTGAAGAGAAAACGTTGTTTCGGAAAACTGGACGACTATTCTTCAATCATCAATTTGGTACGAGTTTTTTGCTACAGTCGTATTCTTCGATCTATTCGTTCCATGAGAAGGTTATTTATTTCTTCCAGTTCATATATTTTTGGGATTTCCCCACTAGAAGTATATTTAGGATGAGTGTAATGATAGACACTCGTAAGGTTTACAATATAGGACTGATGGATCGCGCCTACTATTTGAATGAAAGTAGAAATGCATCTAAAAAGGGCTTCATTATAAAATTTGGAATTGATTTTTTGTACTTACAAATGTCGGCATCGTGTATTCACATAGATGCCGAATTAAGAGTATTGTTATGATTGAAGATCACGTCCAAGTATGATATGGGAATGATAAACTAAATATTAAAGGGAATGCCACCTGGACACAATATCAAAAGTGATTTGAAGGAACGTTCATAGCTTAGTTATGCGCTAGTCAAAAATAGCATAGGGTTCGATGCCCTCAAAAAAACTTATCATGTTGTACAAGTACTTGATATATTTAAAGAGCGAAATTGTTAGGACATATTTGAACCTATCAAATATCAAATGCATAGCATCTGCGTATGTGAGAAATTACTTTACAAAGTCAAAGTCAAATCATTTATTTCAATTAGACCAGGAAGGCACTTTTGCACGTCAACAAAAAAAAATTAAAGTAAAACTATTTGCTCATTTAGAGATGTAGATTCCTATGGATAAGAACGAGCAAGAAACTCCATAGCTCCTTTTTTCAATCAGGTTCACAATACAATTCTCTAGTCACATAGATAAAACTACATATTATGTGTATAACTATGGATTGATTGTGCGAGAACAATGTGACACCAAAACCCAGTCAAAGAGACACTCATTAATAACATGTAAAAAGGTTAAAATACTATTTAACGAAACTTACCCATCCCTTCTCTGTTCTTCAGCTATAACAAGACTTGTATTGGTATATTGCAGCTCTGGAAGTTGTTTCACGATGTACACCTTGAACTTGTACACTGCTTCAAATCGAGGGTTCTCGAAACATGGGAAGAAGTACTTCGCTTTGTTCGGAGACAATCTTGTTGTGAATAGGTATCTGTAATGGAAAGACATATAGTGTTAGTTCCTCATAAGTATTGTACCACAGTACTTCATGCTTTGCACATCACTTATCACTGTAAAAACATTCATTACTACTTCTTTGGCCAAGTGGTCCAAGTGTGACTACTGAGCAAGGGGTCTCAGGCAAAGTATTGTTTAAAATATCAGTAATATTGTCTGGTCACAGTGTCTGGATTTGTGTTCAGTATACGGCAACACGCTTAGGTACCCCCTATTACATAAATAGTGAAAAGTAGGTGTTACATTTTACAGTGGCATTAAGTGCTGTAATGTGCACCTCTGACTACCCCTTCTGGGTAAAGGCTTGATGATGATAATAATAATTATCATTGCAAATCCTAACCATTCCGATTTTTTTAATACCTAGTATGTATTAGGTACCAAAGATCCCAACCTGCATTGAGCAAACGTGGTGATCAATGCTCAAACCTTGTCCATTTGCGAAGAGGCCTTTAGTCAGCAGTGGCCACTTACAGGCTGGTAACGATGATGAGTAATAAAACCAAATGATGGACTTAATAAAGAAAGATTGCTTCAAATAGGGCCAAACATACTTTCAAGATAAGTTTGAGTTAAACAAGACGTCAGTAAGTTGTCCAGATTTAATGAGTATAAAGTGCATAATAATATAGGTACCTATACGCACTCTAGACGGGAAATCCATGCACCACTTTGCATGGATTTTCCCGTGCGTAGTTTCTAAGGAAAGTACTTGAGGACGAGTTGCCAAATGGCTCCAATTTTAAATTAAACTTATAGGTGCAAACTGAGAGAATAAATATTTTCGCCTGGTGATTATTTTAATTCCGAGTGGCTCACTCAATTAACTAATTGAATGAGCGTAAGTACCTACTTACCCTTAGATTGCGAGATCAATAACCCGTATAGAAATGACTGTAGGTATTCACTATATAGTGATATTTATCCGCATTTTTATAATATTATCCGTATCTTTTGCCGCGAAAGATTTAACCGGTTGCCAGAGCTCCGGCTCGAAGTGCAGGAGTAGGAACGGGGTAGTTTTTTTAGTCAGTAAGAGTCTGACACTCCTTGCCTCACCCAGGCGGGAGAAATGATTCGATAACATTTCCCGCTCAAAAAAAATCCGTGTCTTTTAAATGCTTTCACTGCCCATGTACATCACATCACAATGGACAGCACATCAGCCTACTCTAATGTGTCAATTTTTGTCATTGTATTTTCGACTTTATGTCCAAACGATAGAGTTGAAAATCTGATAAAGAAATTTTACTGAAAAGTAGGTTTATCTGCTGCCCTAAAACCCCTTTGCGGACAAGAGTTTTGAAAGGACTGAGAACTTATGCACTAATTTTGCTTGTCAATTATTAAAAATGCTACAAGAGGCATACTTCTAATAAGGAATGACCTATGGAATGGGTGGAACCCCAAGACCTCTTAGTGGACAGTCGCAATAGTGACTTCTCGACTAAAAAAGCAATATAAAGACATTTGTCTCACATTATCAGGCGAGTAACAAATTGTAGGAACAAAAAACTAACTTGCACAAGATATGAACCAAGGTCACGCGGCGTCAGGAAGTAATTGTGGGTACGTTGTAGTGCGTCTAAACAATTTGAGAGATACCGCATGTTTCTAATGTGGGTTATTTTTTTAAAGAAATATAATGTATTATTAGATATATCTAAGAACCACTTTTCTGTCAAAGTAAAAGGTATTTGATTAATTTCGATTTGCGTGCAGTATTGGCTTTAATAATGAGTAAAATCAGAGTGTATTAAAGTTTTGTATAAATATCTGTCTTATTCTAACTAAATGCC